TGAGATACTGTTTCGGATTATTTTATCAAGAGCGGTTTATATATGTTTGGTCTTGAACCAGTTGGGTCAAATTGTTTTTATTTTGTCAAACCAGTTGGTTCAATTGTTTTCGTTTATTTGTACAAAGTTGTAAAAACGTTGATAAACCTAATAAAATGACACCTCAACAAATTTAATGTTAAAATTGAGGTAAAATACAAAACAATCATATCAATGTTTTTAATGTGATTACTAGGTGTTTAGCCCGCGATTTGCGCGAGCCGAAAAATTTCATTGAAACCTAAAATAAAATTTTATGTCATAAATCAAGAATTTGATACATACAAAATTAAAATAAAGCTAACCTATAAAAATAATCATTGTCTAACATTAAAAACTTTAAAATCAATACTAATAAGTGTGTGAAATCAATAAACACAAACTAAAATAAGATTAATATTACTTATTCATCTTTTTCTCTTTTTATCTTTTAATTTTTTTTTCTCCATCATTTTTTTTCTTCTTCACTTTCTATGTCTTTTTTTACTTTTTATTCTGCTGATTTTTTTTTTTCACGTTTTCTTTTTCTTCTCCACATTTTTTCATTTTTTCTCTCATACATCTTTTGATTTTCTTCTCTTCCACGTTTTATTTCCTTTCTTCTTCTTCTTCAATGTTTTATTATTCTCTTTCTTCTTCTTTTTTTTCTTTTTCTTTTTCATTGCCATCATCTTCTTCGTTATCATCGACTTTCTATTCTTCTGGTGTTTTTCGGCTTTTAACTCATCTTCATATTCTTCTACTTTCTCCAATTCCTCATCTTTTAAGGCTTTTATCCAATTTTTTCTCTTTCCTGTCTTCTTCTTCTTCTACTTTGTCTTCTATTTTATTTTATTTTTTCTCTTTCAACAGATTCTTATTCCTCTTTTTCCAATTATTCTTCCTCTCTCTAAATTCTTCATCATTTTTTAAAGATCTTTGTCTTATCTGTCTTTTACTCCTCTCATGGTTTATATTTTCTCTTTTTTAGTTTTTTCCTTATATTTTTAGGTCTTTTTTATCGTTATTTGTTTTCAAATTGTTCTTCTATATTTTCTTCATCTTTTTTTTTTTACTTCTTATTCATCTGATTGTCTTCGTTTTTTTCATCATATTTACCTTTTTCTACTTTGTCTTCTTCATCTTCTAGTTTTCTTCCATTTTATTATTTTTTTCTTTCACTTCCTCTACTATCTACTGGTTTTCTTTATTACTTATTCTTCTGATTATCTTTTTTCTTCTCCAATTGGTCATTTAATTTTTTTTGTTCATCGTCTTCGACCTATCCGAGTATTTTTTTTATCTTAATTGTTCACCGTATTATTTTTTGTTCACATTATCGTTGTTTTCTTATTCTTCTCCTTTTTCTTTATTTTTTAGCTTTTCTATCCTTTGTTTTTTCCTTCTTATCTTTCATTGTTTTTGACTATTTCTTCTTATGTATTGTATTAATCTTCTTTGACTTCTTGATTTTTTTTCATTCGGTTTTTTCTTCGTTCTTTTCTGTTGATTTTTTTTGTTTTATTTGTCTGCCCCTTCTTCTTTGTTTTATTTTATTATCTTTGTATTCTCTAACTTATTCTTCAACATTTTCTACTATTCTTCTTTTGGTTTTATTAGCCGTTTTTATCTTCTGCTTTTTACTTCTTCTTGGTCATTTTTGTCCTATCCAAACTTTTTTTTCTTTCTAATTTTTGTTTGTCCTTTTCGCATCTTTACTTTCTTCTTTTTTATTTTCTTTCATCTTCTTATACTTTATTTTCTTCATCTACCATTTTTGTTCTTCTTTTTCTTTCAGTTTTCTTCTTCAACTTTGAAATCTTCATCTCCTTATCATTTTTCTTTTTCACTATTTTGTGTTACCCATCTTGATCTTATCGTTCATGGTCAACTCTATGTTCTTCTATATGTTTCAGTTTATCTTTTTCTCTTCTTTTTCTACTTCGTTTTTCCCTTTTTCCCTTTTTCTGTTTTCTTTTTTGGTTTTTTCCTCTGCGTCCTACTAGAGTATTTGGCATCTCTTACATTATTCCAAAAATAAACAGAATTCAGAAAGCCATCTTTAAAACAAGCAAAAAAAAACAAAAGACTTAAAACCTGTTCATTAGACAATGAAGATGATTTATGAAATGTTGACATGGTTTTAATCACGTTAAGTAAGGAAGAATAACTGACAACACAAAACAACAACATGTAATCGAGGAACACTATTACTGGTACAGAAAAAATGGAAAAAACGGAAAAAACAATAGAAAAAACGAAAAAATTGATTTATAAAAAATAAAGACGGTAAAAAATACAATAAAAAGCCGACCAATGTAGAAACCAAACCACAATTGAGCTTAAGATACATTTAAAAAAGTAATATATTTATATAGAGCTCTCAACTTAAGCTAGGATTTTCCACATCACATGTACATTTTATTTTCAGATAATCTCGCTCAACAGGTAATCCGATTAACGAATAAAGAGGAATTAAAAATATTTTATTAACGAATAAAGGGAGATAGAATGAGAGACCTTATAGCGAAAAATTTACTTTGCATATATTATATATGATATGATTCTAAATATTTTTTTGATTAAATTCCAATTTTTAAATTTCGTTATTTTCTATTCTAAATATTTTTTGATTAAATTTCGATTTTTAATAATTTTTATTAAATTTAAATGTTTTTTGATTAAATTTCGATTTTTAACAGTTTTTTTAATTAATTTACGATTTTTAATATTTTTATTTAATTACGATTTTTTATATTTTTTAATTAATTTAAAATTTTTAATAATTTTGTTATTAAAATTAATTTAAAAAATATAAGAAAGGGTAAAGGGTAATTAGCCACCCTAAAATTGAATGAGAGAGCTTTAACTCAAAATTTTACTTTGCTTATAATATATATGATAATATTTTTATTTAATTACGATTTTAATATTTTTATTTAATTACGATTTTTAATATTTTTTAATTAATGTAAATTTTTTAATAATTTTATTATTAAAATTAATTTCAAAAATATAAGAAGTGGTAAAGGGTAATTAGCCACCCTAAAATTGAATGAGAGAGCTTTAACTCAAAATTTTACTTTGCTTATAATATATATGATTCCAAATTATGTTTCCATTTCACAACCTATGTATTCAAATTGCAGTATACAGAGTTTGGTATGTAAAGAAAATCATCTTGTAGTGTTAGCCAATGAAGAAGAAGCCTCAGAAGCAGACGAAACAAGGATAGATTCTTCACAAAACAAAGATCTAGTGATGTTATTTTTTTTTTTTTTCTCACACTCCCGAAAGGGATAGTGATGTTATTAAGTGTTAAGAAACTTACATTTGTAATTCTAAGTAGAAGCCAAAAAACTTGTGGTATAATCATTCGGAACTAAAAAGTTTTATTGGGTTCATTTTAGACGACACGTAAAAATAAAAACATTGAGGTCAAAATTAACCTGAAAACATCACAATCACAAACTAGAACATTTGAAAACCAAACGGATCTACAAGCAAGGCGGTGAGATATCACTGAGTTTTCCTTTGCGTAGATTGTATATATCATCAAATGTATAAAGAACGTCTATGCAACATGCGCTGTACTAAACGACTTGCATATGAACCGACGAGAAATATATAGGTGGACTTAAGAAAAATTATGAATCTTTGATGGCTTCTTCTTTGGTGAATCCATGTACGTTGATGTAATAGTTGAGTCCGTGTGCAGTGTGTACCCTTTACCCATATCCTCCTGATGATCATATACGAGTAGGTAACTAAAGAAATCACTGATTAAACCCATTAAGCCAAGCATTTCTAAATAAAAGTTGTACCTCAAAATTCATAATCTCATCTCATATATGTGTCTACATGGCTAGATCTCTAACGAACTTTGTTCTAGTCATTAGCATTTTAGCCATTCAAAATTTCTTTCTTGGTTTTACCAAAAAAAAAAAAAAACTTCTTTCTTGGCTCATCAAAATGTGTGCTCTGAGTCTGAGGCTCACCTTATTCTCTTCATTTGGTCCCTTGGGGTGGTATCACCACAAGAAAACAAGGGTATTTTTGTAGGTTTTATGATTTTTCAAACATATGTCGAAAACCATTTGCAAATTTTTGACGGATATCCAACAAGTATCTGTAAAAAATTTATCTTTCATTTTTTTTAGTTGTTTGACGGAAATTCATCAAAAAATTTTAATGGATCTGACACTCATTTCTCATTCTTTCAGACTCCATCGTAGATGCTCATGATTTGCCTCTTGGATTTGGCGTAAGCTATTGAAGGTTTGGGATGTAAACCTCTTGTATCCGTTACGCAATCGGTAATGAGGAAAAAAAGGCTCTACTTGGGCTTGATAACATGGGCTGCCTTTAGGCCGTTTTCGCGATATAGCCTGCTGAATCGGGAACGAGGATACAATGTGTGCCATATAATAAACTTAAAACTAATAATACGGTTACATTACACGAATGCACTGAAATTAAAATAGAATAAAAAGAGTGAAATTCGGCACATGAGACGGATCAGTGATCTAGTTTTCAGTATAAGACGAACAAATAAAGAGATCAGATTTGAAGTTAAAATAAAAAGAATTGATAGTTAAAAATTAAGTAATGTTTTTATTTTATAGAAACAAACAACAACAATAATGTTATAATAAACTTCAAAAGATCAGATCGAATCAAGTATTGCTTCATGTCCAAAACACAAAGTCATTAAACAATATAGTAACTTAACATTGAATGTACTCCTCTTTCCTTGTAACGGTTTTTTTTTTTTTATTACCAGACCTTATATATATATTCTCTAGTATATACAGTACTAATATCAAAGGAGTAGTATATTAAACTAAATTGAAAATACCTGGCAACACATAAAATGTAAAAGAAAATTAAAAAAAGATTGCTCGTTGACTTTATCAGAACGAGATTATATGAATATCAAAACGGCTCTTCTGTTCCTTGCATCAACTCCAAAACAAACAAAAATGACAGCCATTTTCAGTATCTTCAAGATCCTAAGTCGCATGGACTATGTTTTTATCATAATCACTGTATCATCTGTTATTTTCTGGTATCTCTTTCTTTACAAACGTCGGTCTCCACCATTACCCCCGGGACCTTGGGGTTTTCCCATAGTCGGAAACCTCCCATTTCTTCAACGTGAGCTTCACACCTACTTCCAAGGGCTGGCTAAAAAGCATGGTCCCATTTTCAAACTCCGGCTCGGCGCCAAGCTAGCAATCGTGGTCACCTCCCCTGAGGTGGCACAAGAGATTCTCAAAACCAATGACGTCATCTTCGCAAACCGCAATGTCCCTGCAGTGGCTCTGGTCAACTCCTACGGTGGCAACGATATCGCATGGTCACCTTATGGACCAAAGTGGCGGATGCTGAGGAAGCTATGCATTCATAAGATCTTTAGCAACGCCACGTTGGATTCATCCACTGACCTACGTCGCCGAGAAACCAGGCGAATAGTCGAGTATTTGGCTGGCCAGGCTCGGGCCGGGTCGTCGGTTAACTTGGGAGAACAGATATTCTTGATGATTTGGAATGTTGTGACGCAGATGCTGTGGGGCACGACGGTTAAAGGAGAAGATAGGGAGATTTTTGGAGCTGAGTTCTTGGAACCGTTTATGGAAATGAATGATCTCTTGCTGAAGCCCAATGTTTCCGACTTTTTTCCGGTGTTGAGCCGGTTCGATCTTCAAGGTTTGGTTAAGCGTATGGGAGTACCGGCTCAGAAGATGGATCAGATGTTTGACCGGATTATTAATCAACGGTTGGGGATGGATAGGAAGAGTGATGGGAACGGTGAGGATTTTTTGGATGTCTTGTTGAAAGTCAAAGATGAAGAAGATGAAAGTATGCCTTTGACCATGAATGATGTCAAGGCGTTGCTCACGGTACGTAAACAAATATCATAAGTGGAAAGTGTTAATCATGTACAAACTAGTTTTAACTCGGCAATAGCTAGTTTTAGTTTTAGCTTGGCTATCACCCGAACTATTTGATTCTTGTGCCATACTTAGTTTTCTTGATAATTAATCTTACTAAGTTATACAATTTCCACCTAAATTTTATTTTCCTTGTTAAATTTTAGTAAGTTCTCATTGCAAAGACGATTTGTTAATTTTTTTTTTGGCTTGTTTATATATAGAACATGGTGTTGGGTGGTACAGACACATCGTTGCATGTTATAGAATTCGCGATGGCTGAGATATTGAACAAGCCGGATATCATGAAGAGAGCTCAACAAGAGCTTGACGAAGTTGTAGGCAAAGGCAAAGTAGTGGAAGAATCTCACATTCCAAAACTTGCGTACGTTCTCGCCATTATGAAAGAAACACTAAGGCTTCATCCTATTGGTCCACTCCTTGCTCCTCATCGCCCATCAAAAACAACCGTGGTGGGTGGCTTTACCGTCCCTAAAGATTCAACGATTTTCGTCAATGTGTGGGCGATCCATAGGAACCCAAATGTATGGAAGAATCCGTTGGAGTTTGATCCCAACAGGTTTCTTGATAAGTCTTATGACTTCAACGGAAACGACTTCAGTTACTTCCCATTTGGATCTGGCCGTAGAATATGTGTGGGGATGGCCATGGGTGAGAGGGTTGTTCTTTACATTCTTGCTACGCTTTTGCATTCTTTTGATTGGAAACTTCCTCAAGGAGAAAGAGTGGAGGTGGAGGAGAAGTTTGGGATCGTGTTGAAGCTGAAGAATCCACTTGTTGCTATCCCCGTGCTAAGGTTGTCTGATCCAAATCTTTATCTGTGAGGATATAACACAGCAATATGTTTTGTATTGGACAATCTTTAAGGTAACGAACCACTTGTAGTGCTTTTGTTAGTAAGTAACCCAATGAGCTACCCAAGGAAAATGTTAGTGAGTAACCAATCTTTTAAAATTTTGAATGAGCTTCTATGATCTCTAGAAGGTTCGTGAGTATCGTAATGATTTATAATTTATCGTATCATTTAAATCATATCTTGTATTGAAAAAAAAAAATATTGTATTGTTGTCCATTGTTTTGCTCATCGAAGACCAACGGAAATTGAAAGAACCCATGTGCATGTACATTGTCATCATGAGAAACCCATTTGTAAATGAACCGTACGTTCTAAGTAAAAGTCTCTAATAAGAGAAGCCTATAAATAATACAACTGTATCAAGATGTTAGATACAATTTATTTGTTTTAAAAAACAAGCTAAATCAACATATTTTTATTTAACTGCAGTTATTGTATCAAAATAAGATATTAAATATGCTTAATTTGAAACACCTGACCTAAAACATTTTCATTTGTAAATTGTTAAATTCATATATATCTTAATATTTTCTTATTTAATAAAATACTCCTTATGTATTACGTACAAAAAGTGTCATTCTACCATTTTTCACATGAAGATATGTACAACTCTATTATATATTTTTATTAATATACTAATTACGTTTCTTTCTCTAAACTGAAACAATAAGGATACAGTTGAGATATAAATGAAAAATTCCCATTAAAAAATATAAAACGACATCTTCTGTAAAACAAAAAAAAAAGTCTCAAAACATATCTTTTGTGAAATGGATTACGTAGTATTAGCTTTTTAGTATATATAGGAGTGTAAACCATGTTTTTAAGAACAAATAATAGTGTAACCCATGTTGTGGTGGAGATTTCATGCTTTGTCCTTAGATATTGAGGGTGGGATGTCTGTCTTCAGAAAACGATTATTTCTGATAAGTAAAATAATCTACCGTCCATCAGTCTAATTTCTTTCAGACAGCAAGACATTAGGATATTTCATTTTCTCATTTTTGTGTAAAATAATTAAAGACACGAATTTTAAAGGGGATAACAACCAATAAGTTGACCAAAAAAAGCTAGAAATATAATTAGAAATAAAACAGTTATAATTAAAGCAGGCTAATATAGCTTATTATATGTGATAAGAGGAGTATTTGCTGTTACTTACAGATCACCTTTGCAGGTCCCATTTTCTAAATTTCGCCAACTGTATTTGCAATATCAGTGCCAGCTGGTAAAACATCTTTTACAATTACGTATCTACCCTTCTCGTTCTTTCAAACTATGTCTTCTCTTTGACCCTAAACCGGTTTTGAAGAAAACCGGAATTTCAAAATGACATAATACGAAATTCTGGTTTATATTCCATAAAAAATCACTCGATTAAACCTTGGAAGATGATCTGAAATCTATATAAAAAACAAAAGAAAATTATGTGTCGATTTGGATTTTATGTGACTGATTCCGGTTTTCTATTGCAAACCGAATTTGACCGCCAGCCAACAGAAATGGGTTCTGGCGCCAACGAGGAAAAGGTAGACAACGACCGAAAAAGAAGAGGGCAGTTACGTAATTTAGGATAAAAGCAAAGGGTGATTAGAAGATAATCCTTCTATAATACGAAGGGAGCTTCTTAAAAATCAGAACACAAAAACGAATCAGTTGGAGAATTAAGAAAAACAACAAAGAAGAGCTTCAAGGAATCATCAACTCAAGTAAGTTTCATCATGAACAAAAACATATGCAAATCAATATTATATAAACATGTTCATAGACGTGAAAATATGCGTTTTTTCTTACCCGTTATTACGTTTGTTTGACATTTTCTTGAGAATCTGTAGAACTAGGGAGCTAAATATTATACATAAACTTATAAATGTGTGAAAACAAAGATTGGTATATATTGTTATAAGTTATAACCTATATTCTGTATAGGTAGATGTATTTATGCGCAAAAACGTAATAATTCAAAGGTTTATATGAATTAGATGATCTTGTCTCCTTTTTATCGTTTAGGTTAAAAGTTAAGATCTTTTCTTTTCAGTCATGTTCATGTAAATGATATAGAGAAAACTTTCTAATAATTTTTTTTTGGTTGCAGGACTATTAATAAATCAAATAAAGAAAGAAAGATATGGGTTACTGGAAATCGAAGGTTGTTCCAACAATGAAGAAATTGTTCGAGAGGAGCCCAACAAAGAAGGTTGTTGAAGAGAAGAAAGAAGAGGTTAAACCGGAACCGGTTCCAGCACCGGTGGAGGAGAAGTCACGAGAGGTGGAAATTGTGGAGGAAGTCGTGAAAACCGAAGAACCGGCCAAAGAAAAAGAAACCAAACCGGAGGAAATTACTAGCGGCGAGAAAGAGATTGAAATAGTTGAAGAGAAGAAAGAAGAGGTTAAACCGGCACCGGTTCCGGCCCCGGCGGCTGCGGAGGAGAAGAAGCCAGCGGCGGAAGAGGAGAAGAAGGCGGCGGTGGAAGAGAAGAAGCCAGCCGTGGAAGAGAAGAAACCTGTGGAGGAGGTGAAAAAAGACGTTGTTGCAGCAGCGCCGGTGATTGAAACTCCGTCGACTAAGGTCACAGAAACTCCGGTGGTTGAAACTCCGGCGGCTGAGCCACAAAAGGCTTGAGTTTTCTTCATGGTGCATTTTTACGATTAAAAAAAAACAATGTTTGTAATGGTGTGGATAATTTATTTTGTCTGTTTAATTTTTTTATAATCCATGTGAATTTTCTTGCTTGAATTATATGTTTTTATGGATCATCCAATTCTTACTTTTCTTCCAATAATTACTAAGTGCTATTTTTTAATCATAAACTAAAACTCAAACTCTATTTTCAATTCTTGTATTGTTCGATTTTATGTTTTTCCGTAAATTCCAATTCACATTATGTGGATTATTAACTCTGAATCTCGGTTACGAGTTTAGTCTAATGACTCAGACTAACCAAGATTTAATGTTTATATAATAAGATAGATCTATAGAATTTAAACCTACATATTGTAAATTTAATAAACAATTTTTTAATCAAAAAACTAACTAGATTGAATTGATTATTTAAAATCTAAGTTCTCTACTAATGGCATCTTCGGATTAATTCGTTAGGTCGAGACATAAGATATTAGTGTAACATATTTATGCTAAATCGTTAATAACTACAAGAATACTCATACGTGCAAGCAAGAAACAAAATGAAATTAAAAGATTACGATATGTACAGCCAATTTTATTTTTAATCAAATGACGTGGTACGCAACTCTTCTTTATATTTGTATTAAATAAACACATGGCAACACACACATAACAACTAGACATGCTCCAACTTGAGAAAGAGTGTTGCAGATATCTTTCGATATTAGTTTTATATTTATTTAGTTAATAGCATATAACATAATCAGGCAATTAGGTTCTCATCTCGTCATATATACTACTTCGTACCTTCTAATGAATATACATACCAACATTGACGTGGAATACATGCTTAGTTTGATGGACAATACCAACATTGACGTTCAGATAAAGATGAAAATCCCATGAATTGTATGGAATGTGTGGAAGAATAGAAACGCCATTATCTATACAGGGAAGCAGAAGTCAGTTGCGGTGCTAACTCAACAAATTTCAGAGAATACACTAATGTGGAACTCCGGAGGACGTGTCCAGTACACTCTCACGTTCCGTGTCTAAAAAGGCTTCATCACAGGACATCACCAAATCTAATGTCAACGCATTTTGGCAGAGTCAGACATTACTTGTGGGCGATGCTTGGATAGCATTTTACGGAAAATTTTGAAGAGCATTTTACGCAATGGCTTCAATTGTATTTATCCATTGGATGCTCTGCTTGGCTCCATGATTTGATTCGTAGAGATTCTGGTGATAGCATCTAATATTTTTATCATTAGATTTTGATGCTATGTTTTTCATTCCTTATATGTTAGCCATATGGCTTTGTACTTTTGTCACTCGTTTGCCGTATACCCTTATCTAATAAAACCCAAACGATTGAAAAAAAAATGAATATACATACTATTTTTCATAACTCTGCGCCTCCTCTCAAGGATTTATCAGAAAAAAGAGGATTATTGACAAACATACAAAGATTGGTTACCACACATTGTTGACATTTCTGATATTGGTTGCTATTGCTGAAAGAAGATTTTCAAAATTAAAGTTGATAAAGAATTACATATCACAAGAATGACTGAACTAGTTTTATCATCAACTATGATATATTGTTGAAAATTTTGACTACATGCCATATCTGAGCAATTTTTTTTCTTTTTTTTTATACAAACTGTTTATGAATTTGGATGGTTTAACAAAGTTTTAAGTTATTTTTTTATTTTTTATTTATAATTTTAGATTAAAAAATATGAAAATCATATACTTCTAAATTTGTGTAGAACATTCAAATATATTGGATCAGCTCATCAGCACTTCGTTTTTTTCCTCTCCATGCCCAAAACCAAGCCACCTAGCCTCATTCTTTTCTCTAGCCGTGTTCCAAGGAATGTGTTGACGAAAATATCCCTAAGATTTGTAAAGATTCCTTGGATTGGCTAGTGCGCACAAAGAAAATGATCTCTAACGTTATGGTTGGCAGGTAATTATTTTTAATATATTTTTATAAATTTTATAAAGAATAATTAGAATGATCATCCCGCCATCAGTATTTGCAAAAATGATCAAGAGTAAAAAACGACACTGTTCAATTTTTTTTTAATACCCTTTAGCCCCTATTCATGTTCAAAATATCGCTAGGCGTTAGTCAGGCGGTGGACGACCGCCTAGCGCTTAATAAATTAAACGGGAATTAAACGGTGATTAATCGGGGATTATTTTTTTTTGTTTTATATGAATATTAGGTTATATATATTATCTGCAAACATAAGACAATGTTATAATGCGGCCCAGCGGCTTTAGTGCATTCATTTGCTAAGCAAGTATCGGGTTCGAACACGAGAGGATGCGTTTTGTAACCTTTTTGCTCGATTTTTAATTATAAATGACAATTACCATTTTGCCCTCATATTCAACCTCATGACAATGTTTTACAGAAACCCTAATTCCGCGCCGCCACTGTATTTTCTTCGTCATTTACATCATTTTTCATACTTTTTTGATGTTATATAGCAAATTATGATAGATCTGTCTAATAACTATCGATTTCTTATTTATATCAAAGGATAAAAATGATTTTTTTTATGATTCTGACCGATTAATCGCCGATTTCAACCAATTAATCGCCATAAATCGGACAGCCGCCTAATCCTTTCGACTTGGACAAAATCACCGCGGCTCAGCTCCGCCCACCGCCTAGGCGGTCGGTTAATCTAAAATTATGTCAGATATTGTGTCAGATATTCTCATAAAATATCGATAAGGTATTGCATTAATGGAAACACTGTTCAAATTCAATATTTTGTCGGGGTAAAATTCCAATCGGTGTTTTATCTTTCGGTCAACCGATACGGCGTTTCGGTTGCAAATTGTATTCGTCCTACCCCATTTTTTTCAGTTCCGGGGTTTGTACAAAAACGCAAAAGCAGGGCACTGATTCAGTAAAGAAGATGGAGCTATCATTACCGGACAGAATATTCGCCGCCGGCAAAGAACCTGTCGGTGAAAGGGTTAATTGCTACCACAAATCAAAGGCGATTAACAACATCCTTAGCGCATTGGACGAAGAGGAGAAGGATTATATGCGAAAATCTCCGTTTGGCAAACTAATCGCGACTGCGGAAAAACCTTCCCTTTCCGAGAGTTTCGGCCACGTCATCATCACGAGGTTGCTCAAGGTTAGTAAAAAGTACGAAATATGGATTCTTTTCGCCGGGCGCCCGATTAGAGTGTCTCTCCGAGAATTTGCGATTGTCACCGGATTGCCGTGCGGCAAGTACCCAAAAAAGCAGAAGAAGAAGAAGAGAAACCCCATTCGGGAGAAGCCATACTGGCCGGACTTATTTGGAAATCTGAAGACATGCAGCATCAAATTGGTCGTGAAGATGTTGAAGAAGAAGACAGTTGTTGACCGCGAGACGCGACTGAAGTATGCCTGTCTTGCTTTAACCGGCGCAGTTTTGTGCCCCACCAATCATAGATACAAAATTGTCGCCGAACACGTGGAATTGATTAGAAGCATCGAAGAGTTTTTCTCACACCCGTGGGGCAGAGTGGGTTTTGAGATGTTGATGTCTAGCATCAAATCTAAAGATGAAGTTGCACTGGCACAAAGCACGGTAGCGGTTAAAGGTTTCTTTCACGCGATACAGTTAGTGTTGGTGGAGGCATGTCCATCGTTAACCGAAGTAGTTCAATTGAATGAGTTTTCCTCGGAATCAGAATCTGAAGGAGACGAAGAGGAGGGAGAGTCTGATGACGTTGCCCCAGCCAACATGCCGGAGAACCCCTCAAATGAGCAATCGATTGCTGGCGATGCCGAGAAAAACGCTGGGAAGCCTTCGACACACACAGAGTCGGCGAATGTCGGACTAAGCCCAAGTCACGCAAGGGAGATCGACGAAGGATGCAAGGTAATATCTTGCCCGTTAACTTTAACATTTACAATGTAACAAACTTTTTATCATTTAACAACTGTATGATCGGGCTAACATTCGCGATAACGATGCAAATTTTTGTACGCAGGTCTCGGTTTTTAGCATTATCCCCGACGATTCAGATTCTGCAATGGAGGATGCGGACTTTAGCTGGTCCGACGAGGAAGACGATCCAAGGGTTGATAATATGGTAAACCTCATCGGGGAGAACTTTGAATTCCGCAAAAACATGTTTCAGGGTGGTTTGTCTCAGGCTGAGTTGGCGAAAATGCGCCTTGAGAGGAAGGAAATCAGGGAGAGGAAGGAGAGGGAGAAAGAGAAGGCCCAGGAAAATGCAATCAATCTTGGTGCCGCTGGTCTGTCGTCAACTGCTCCCCCCAACATAGCTGAACTTTTGTCTGCCACGGTAAAGGCAGAGCTAGCTCCAGTTGAGCTAAAGGTGGCAGCCGCTGTCGACAAGATATCGACCATTGAAACCAATTTGTCCACTCTTGGCACTGTGATGAAGACACCTATGGAACAGATGATTACATCAATGCAAGAACAAGTAATATCCAACATTATTGGTTTTCTAGGCAAGTCTGTTTCGGAATTCAACAGACACGACACTGAAAGAGATAGATCTACGGCTCATGGAAACGCGGAGAGGCAAGGCGATGCAGCACGAACAGGGGCAAGGACTACAAATCACCAGACACGGCAACATGTCCAAGCGGATGTAGTTATAAATGACGCAATTGGGTTTGCTAACAACATTAATACCGAACAACAGACGGATATGCAGCAGGAGGGCGAAGGAGTTGGAGGTCTGAGTTCAGAAGCTGGCGAAAGCAACGAGAGCCCGGAAGAGAGACAAGTACGTTATAAGATTAGGATCACAATTACTCTTTTTGATTTTCGTATACAATCGTAAATAACCGCATTATAGGAGCTGTAGCTGCCTACGATCTATATTAACTAAGATAACTACAGGTGTACCTGATAACATTAAGCGTAACAACGATGTGAGTTGTGACTTATTAATATGATTGATTTTGCTAGGTTGGGGCTGCTGAAGGTAATGGGGATGGGGATGACCCCGTTGACGAAATTGGTGATGAAGGAGATGGTCCGAGGCGAGGCAAGAGGGCTAGGGTGCAGACATCGTTCAACGACTTCCACGTGGATCCGAAGTGGGTTTCATGCACGATGGGGAGCAATCCCTTTTTATGCCACATTGAAGAACGACCAACTTATTTTACAAAGTTTGCACGCTTACACGAGGTTTTGCAGAACTATCGGTAAGGTCTCCCCATCTTGGTAACTATAATGTTAGATTGGTAGGTTCAACTAACATATGCCGATAGATATGTTAGAGTTGCTAATTAAATTGTTAACCAGAACTTTTCTGTTTTGCACTGTAATGTTACAACGAGTTTTGTGTGTGAAAGTTTGTCTCCATATGTAGGGTATTCAATCTTGGCAGTGGCACATCTGTTAACAACAAGGACGTTCTAGACATAGCTGGTAGGACAAAGCCCATGACGGCTAAGGTAATGCTTTCATTCCACCGTCGTTCGACTTTATCCACGATATTATAACGTCTAACGAAAGTAATATCAGATAACTAGGGGGTTAGATGTATAGTCACATAACTATGTTCATAAGTTTTCAGTTAATTGTCTAGATGTTTGGCTTATGTAAAATAAAATTGTAGAGCCAATAATTTATGTAGAACTAAGCGTTTTTGTTGTATCTAGATGATGGACGCGCTTCTCCTATACGCCCACGCTGTCTATGTCCGACATTTTTCAGAGTCTCATTTCAACAAGACGGCGTTTCTTGAAACCAAATTCACGACTGCACTGATGAAGACCTGGAGTAAGTTTTCACGTTTGGCTGTCAAAGACCGTCATAGGTTCAAATTTGGGGATGGTGTCATGGATCACCTTGAGGTGGACAGCGTAGAGATCTCTACGCCGGAGCGTTTGTATTTGCCGTTCAACTTTGACAGGGAGCACTGGGTTGGCATAGTTGTTGACACAACTGCTGGGAGTATGCACGTGCTGGATTGCAACCTCTCTTTGAGGACTGATAGCGCTATAAAGAAGGAGCTGGCCCCCATATCAATGATGTTATCGTACGTACTAAAGCAAAGTCCATCCAAACAACGTATTAGCGAATCTAAACCTTACGTTATCGTTCGACCTAAAGGGATCCCACAAAACAGCATCATGTGCGATTCTGGTGTCACAACTGCTCTGCTTATAATGTTACACTCGGTTGGAGGAATTGACCGATGCAAGATGCTCACTCCCGAGGAGATGGCCAAAGAGAGTCAGGTTTTAGCTGTTAAGTTTTTCGAGGAGTTTGATGCTCCAGCGTAAGCCAAGGGTTGCATGCCTTAACAGTTTGCTAAAAGTCTGTTTTTTATGTTTACTTGTTTATTTTCTTCTTTTCGTTTAAAGACTTTGTTGAATTTATCCCATGCTTATTCATTGGCCATGCAAAACATTTTTTAATTTACCTATGTTAACATATAAGAGTTTTAAGTGAGATATTCATGGAAGGAGTGTAAATTGAGGAGTTAAATAAGGTCCCACAATGTTGTGGAAATACTATTACGGAGATTGCGAGTAATTACGACCAACCCCCTGTAAGTAAATGTGTAAATATCTACCAAAATCCTGCGAGCTGCAATATGGACCACTCGTTGTTTTCCGCGCGAATAAAGCATTTAATGCAGAGATGTGTGATAGATCTCATTGACCTCTGCGCCATATCGCTATATGTCCGTATGTATAGGTTATACTGCTCAGTTGCTCCGCTATATAATGTATTAGCAGCTTGAGCCTATACCACGCCATTGTTAGACCTGCAAACAGAAAGTAGGAGAGAAAAAATTTAGGTCGTGCCAACAAAACTACAGAAGTCAAGTTCCGTGCGAGGAAACAAGGTAGGACCACTGTATCTAGCTTTGTTTGTGCGTTTATGTCGTTGTCTCTTTTGGTTATGTTCTTGACAGTGAACATGTAGTTTTAAATGCAGATCTCTTAAGTTTTCATCCCTCGGACCAAAATAAATGCTTTGTTGCTTTGATTTTAGAGTAAATTTCATGGTCGGATTATATATGGATATAGTACTAAAGCTTCGTCATGCTTCTATTTCAGGAAAAGGAAAATGGTTTATATGGTGAAATATTCTAAAGGAGTGTGGAACCGATCTCCGAATGGTGAGTGGGATTTCGAGACCGACACCAACGACAGAGGGTACGGACTAATGGTGATTGAACGGGAAACCTTCGAGTCACTAGACGGAATGATGAGAGCTCGGTTCAGTCTCCATCCACACACGATGATGGCAATGACTTATCAACTCCCAACAAGCTCATCTGTGCCACAAGGACGCAAGGCAGCCCCTTTCAACATCATCAACAACGGCGATGTCGACCTCTTCATGGCTTTGCGCGTCGAAGTGGAGACTCTCGCCATTTGTGTGACCATAGGAGAAGAGAATGTTCAGCGTTACCTTTCAATGCAAAGGTCTACTGATCAAGTTACCGGTCCGCCTGTTGGCTTTATCCGTACAAATCAGGCGTTATTGGGTAACCTTTCTGGTAACATCGATAAACGTTTTATTAGCGTTGAAATAAAAAGGTTAACTGACGATACTTTTGGTGGACTTGTTGATGTTAACAACTTTTGTGAAGGGCTCATCAAGGGACCGACCGTGCAAATTGCTGAAAGTGTCTTCCACGAGATCTTCACGGAGGACGAGCAGCATGTCATCCTGGATGCCCATAACGCACTCACTCAACTGTAGGCTTCTCGTCGACCGGCGGGAAAAGATGATGGCGGATCAACGAAGTCCTCCTCTGCCGAGTTCGACCTTCTCCTCCCGGAAACGGGGTTATCAAACTCTAACCAAGGGATAATACTCGTGGACCCCATCCCCACCGATGCTGATAAAGGGAAAAAAAATGGGCACGGAAGCTAACGACGGCCCTTTCCTCGGTTTGACTACGACTTGTGCCGGTGAAGGCAGCAACCAGCCGGCTCCGCCGGTGATGGTGGATGAGGAGGAACTATCCGATGATGAGGGCGACTACATTTGTGAGTAGATATTTGGTGAAAGTCACATCTCGTTATAGTTCGATATATGTCTTGTTAGGTGTAACGTTTGGTGATATTGTGTAACTTTAGTTGTGGACATGTGAACAACTTTGTTAGCTTATGCTTACATCTGTTATAACTTTGTTAGCTTGTGCTTACATCGCTATATGTCTCCGAATGGTGAGTGGTTTTTGGCTGTTAAGTTTTTCAGAAGACATTTGTTTTTATGTTTACTGTTTGATTTTCTTCTTTTCCTTTCAAGACTTTCTTCATTGGCCATGCAAACCATTTTCTAATTTACGTATGTTAACATATGTCGATTATTTGAAATGTAGGTCTATAGCAAAATTAAATGATAAGATAACATGTTTTTTAAACCGAAAATAAGAATGTTAGACCAATAGACTAAACCAACATCAGACAATTTATACGTTAGAGCAGGTAATGCCAATGTTAACTTGAAATTTCTGTGCCTACGTTTGGTTGATTTTAGGGCGATGGAATGTCAACAACTAGATAAAAAAGTGGACAGGCATAGTAAACAACAATACTTTATAGCTGGGGCAACAGAATCGATCATCTTACAAACATATTTTACAGAAACTTAGATAGGAGTTTGCTTGGGTTCATTAATACACGAAACATATTAAAAACAGAAAGTAATTGAAACCGACATAGTGTCGGTTTATGCAGCTCAACAAAAAGGAACCAACTGCATGAAATCCGTTGCCCCCATTCATCATCCCCATAGCTATATCGGCATCTTACAAGAGGCGCGGTTATGGTCGAAGCTACCACATCGACCACAGATGTTTAAACGCCTCGGTAATCCCCCCTGTAACGAAGTAATACGAATGTTAGTTTACTAACTCTGACAGCTACACGGGTAAACAGAACGATAAGGGAGTCGATTAAACAGAACGAATGTTAGTTTACCCCAAATTGTCCACGAGAGCGGATGCGCGTTTTGCGAGGCCTCCCAGGCGGGCGGCGGGTGTTAGGTGGCTTCAGGTTAAGAGATGAGAAGTCGTCGCCTACGGGAAGAGTTGGCACAGACATTGTTACGGGGTAGATGCTGCACTCGTAGGCCTTGTTCCAAAAAGCTGTGGTGTATTCAATTCCAACCAATGAGTCAACCCTTGTCTCAGATCTCAATGCTGCGACTATAGCATGGCAGCAAGGGATCAACATCTGGAATTCATGACAGCTACATGCCTGCGTCTCCAGGTTAACCAGGAAAGGAACACCCTCTTTGGTCCGGACCTCGAATTCATCTTGATTTATCCGACGGAACGAAAACCCTGTTGACAGTTCAAAGTTAGTAGCTAGGATCTCCTCTACCTTTGGGGTTAGCGTGTTACTTGTCTCCGAAGCGAGGGTACGACGAGTGTTAAACCAACCCATCAGAGTTGCCCTAATGTACTCGATCAATGGCACAATTGGGTAATCCCGTGCAGCTGCGAGCACATTGTTGAGGGATTCAGCTACATTGCTAGTCATGATGTTGTACCGGAGACCGTTGAAGTGAGCCCTCGTCCAATGTTCGAATCCAATAGCTGTCAAATAGTCAGCACAACCTGAGTCCACAGCTCGAATTTGGTCAAATAGTTCATAGAATTGGGAAGGTAGGTAAGCTCTCGCAGCTTGAGACACCAAATAGCTGAGATGCTTCTTCTTGAAGATCGACTGGACGTTACGCTGGAGATGCACAACACACGCACAGTGCTGTGCCATTGGATACACCTAATCACATTGATACAGCATTTTTAGCCTCAAGCCACTTATCACTAGTATTTAGGACGCTAACACTATGGGTACACATTTAAAAGGTTTATCAACGAGAAGCAATTATCTCATTATCAATAAACCCGTGCATCACAAGCAGGCACTTATATGTTTCGATAAGGAAAATATATATTAATGAGAACACATATTAACGCGAAGCAAACAACTTACCACCAAAATATTTATCCATTTACACGAACTATTAACGCGGTACTATAGATGTTAACGCACCATTAATATGAAACAAACAACTCAATATTAAAAGACCCATGCATGTTAAACAGGCAGTTAGATGTTTATCCAACTACAGAAACTATTATCGCAATACTATAATTGTTAACACACCAAAAAATAATATGCATATATAAAACTGCAGATTAAAGTGTAATACCTTTCGCAGGCCGGCAAAGATCGAGTTATGCCGGTCAGACACAAAAACGAGATCATGGCTGTCCGGCACCACTTCCTGCAACTTCCGGAAAAACCAACTCCATGCCTTGTCGTTATCTCCATCCACTATCCCAAAAGCCACTGGGTAAAGCTGATAGTTTCCGTCTTGACAACTCGCGGTGAGCAGGCAGCCTGTGTACTTTCTTTTAAGGTGGGCGCCGTCGATTATGAGGACTTTGCGCATATAGGGATAACCATTGAGGCATGCCCCCAAGGTGAAGAACAGATATTTGAACCTTTGGCCCACTCCCTCATCGTAATCCGTTTCTAGGGAAACAACTGTACCGGGTTTGACATAACCAAGCGCTGTAGGTAGATGGGTAGCACCTTGTAAGAATTGCCAGCAGTTCCCAACCCTGTGTCCCTTGCTAAATCTCTAGACCTCCACGCCTTCCAGTATGATATTGGGACGTCATGATCATCACGCATAAGCTCCCGTAGTTCATTAGGTCGGGGTCCGACACCACTGGCGTATTTGTTTTTGAACAAATCTCCAATCACACTTGTCTTAGCTTGCACATGAAAGCGGCCACGCTCGTCAATGGTACAGTTGTGGTCAAGCCGGGCACGTCTGATCTGGAACCACTCTATCCCTTCCATCCTTACAGCGTACACCCTCCATGGGCAGTTTTGCCCGACACATTCCAAGTCCATCCTGCTTGGTGTCGATTTTCGGGTAAAGTATTGGAACTTTTTGGCCATGGCGTATAATGACATATGGAGCTTGAACGCGTCTTGGTCTTTGAACACCATCCCCACGTAGAGGACGCCTGGTTTGTTAACACCATCCCTTATAATGTATAATACGTATGTTAACTAGGCACGTTGACTGTTGGAGATCTAACACATAAGTTAGTGAGTATATGAGTAAAGCGATACCGATATAGTCACACTCTTCGTCAGACATGTCATCGTCTTCCGAGTCATGTTGTTTAGGGTTGACACCACTAGGACCTCCATTGCAATGCATAGACAAACCCAAGAACGGACCCTCGTTGATATCTTGGCCGATTTTAGTTTTGCCTTTATCAGTCAGGCTATTGGCTGGCCTCTTCTCCTCACTTGTTGAGCCCAACGAAATCGCCGAGTTAGGAAGCCCTGGTTTGGTAAAATATTCGACAAGCGTTAGTCATGTATTTGACGATGCACATGAATAACATACCCGCTAATGATATGCGTAGATCTCTACCTTCACATGTTAGAGGTCGTATGGAGAGGTGTTGAACCCCCGATGTAACTCCGGACGGCTGTATAACGGTGTCAGGGTCGCCGTCTACATTTCCGATTGTTGTGATGTTCAAGCTTGTATCTGGGAGCATCAAACACAGAACCCCCGAGGAGTTGCTAGACGAGCTGTGTCCCCCACCCACGGGCACCCCGTAAGAGGACTCCATGCAGGTCATAGCCTCATGTATCTCCTCCAGGAAACGCCTCTCCTCGTCCGTGAAAATTTCTTTTGCGGCACCATCTGCTATACGGAATATAGCACCCTCGACAACCCCTTCCCAAAAATTTTTTAACATCGTCAAATCCACCGCAAGTCATATCAGTTATCTTTTCTTGTTTGACGTTAACAAAATGATTACCGGTACACGCAGGAAATGAGCGGGGCAAAGTTGGCTGAACACCTTCAAACCCCAGAGGTGGACCTCCAACCGTTAGGTTGTGTCGCTTCTGAAACTTATAACACTCGACATTATAAACCCCGAGAGTCACATAGATTGCAAGCGAATCAAAATCAACTTTAACGGCCATGAATAGCTCCACGTCCGCCGTGGTTGCGATGTCCTGTGGCGCAGCTTTTTTTCCCAAAGGACCCACCATAGCCTCCGGTAGTTTGTAGGTCAGCGCCATCATTTCATACCTTGGAATTTTGTAGCGCTCCCTCACCATTCCGTCCAGCGACTCGAACGTTTCGTTTTCTTGCACTATCATCCCGTACACAGTCTCCGCCGAATCTTCTTGAAAATCCCATTCCCCATTCGCGGTTTTCTTCCACACTCCTCGAACAAAGCTTACAACACAGCCCATTTTTCTGGCTGGTTACCGAGAAAACAAAACTGTTAGAGACCACAATAGGATGTAGAGACATTCATAACGAGTCATACACTAGTTTTTAGTACATAATCACTAACACATTTACTAGACTATCACTGGTAACATTAAAGTTGTACGAGGATTCAATAAGTGTTGTAATAAAAGCAATCTTTCCAGATATACAACCCAACAATAAATGTAGGACCTCCATTACATATGGTCTAAGAGTACGTGATCTTACCTTCTTTTGGATGAGAGTCAACTATTTCTTCAATGGAAACTCTGGATTTATCTGCTTTTTACTCGGTGCGTTTTTTTCTCTTGAAGTTTAACAGCGACGTTTCTCAATTGACAACGATAACTCCTTATATAGCAGGTTAACAAACCCTAGTGTCCTATACTTACACGCATACATCGCATATAAGCCCAATTGTCGAAGCAATCTTCAGCATATCCTTGCATTTAATGCTTCTTCGGCGGGAAAAAAATATATGGCCCTCGTTTACGCAGGAATATCGCCCCTAGTCTACCAAATATCTCTAGCCACCCGATCAATTGTACTTACCGTCAGAAGCCTCTGTTCATGTCTGGCATTGGCAAAATATCGGGGGGTAAAAATGTCATTGTCGATGACCAAGAACACAGTGTTAATATTTGTTTGTGGGCCCTTGGTCATTTACCTAATTTCGTTGCTCATTTGGTTTATTTGCCTAATTCACTCTTTTATAAAAGTTAGTTATATTTTATAAATTTCCTTTTTAGAGTCAATGATATAATCCATTTGAACCCTAATGAACCCCAAACAAAAAGTTTGAAATGTTGTTTAAGAGCATATAGGCCTAAGGGCATTGGCAATATGAATATTTGTTTTTCCAAACTACAAAATAAAGAAGGGGAAAATAAGCTTAAGTTTTATATGATGACCACTCTATTTGCTTGTACTTGCTGGGCTATTTTGGTGGTGCGAGCCGTACAAACTCTCTTAAACATAGGGGTTAGCATTCAGTTACTAGAGAAGCTGTCTATTCAACACGTAGTCAACAATGTTATATATGACTCAGAAATTGGATTTAGCAACATCAAAACCACTCTTAACTTTATAAAGTAAATGGAGTTTGCAAAGACACTCATTGGTCTCATCGTGGAGAAATAAAGAAAAGAAAATGTCTTCACAAAAAAGAGAAAAATTTCTTTGTGTTATTCATATTAATACATTTTGCTTAACTTTTAAATAATTTTTCTTAATTCAAAAAGAAATATTTTTTAAGGTGCACAATTTTTGAATGAAAAACTACTGTTTATTCGTTATACTACTTTACAAATTTTTTAATATCATTTGATCCAAACTTATTTAGAGTGTATATATGGGTTTAAGATCATCGTTTTGACTATAGACCAATTAAATCAAACTTCGTTCAAATGACCTGGTTAAAACATGATCATATCAAAATAACTGGATGCAGTATGTATTTTAATAATAACCAGCAGATTATTATTCCTCTATTCAAATACATAATCATATCCTTGATTAGAAACTTTTCTCTTGGATATTGAATTATGACAATAGTTTTGTGAGAAAGTGTAGCTTGTTATGATCAAACTTGATTCGAAAAGATTATCATGATCAATTTGGTTTCACACTTTTTTTCATAGATTAGTTGTATTTGTGATGAAGTATGCTTACTCGTTACCATATTATGGTTCATAAATGATTAGTATATCTTAATCCGGCTCTTGACTAGTTTGGTCCGATTGTGGTTGGATGTTGTATCACTTTGGAAGTAGTCTTTGTCACAATATGCACTCAACAATAATTGAAAATGAGCAAATCCATTTTTGCACTCAACAATAATTGGAAACAAGTAGCAACATTTGGACGTGGGTTTTAATGGGCCAACTAATGGGTTGAATATCAAATCAGTTATATCATACAAATTATTTTTTTGACGATACAAACTTTATACCATTACAGAAAAGTATTTATTTTATTTTGTCTTTGCAATATTTATCAATAGAATTATCGGGGTTTTTTTTAATTATACTGTTATCTTTTATTAATTGGATCTAAAACTAAACTATTATCTCATAAAAATACCACAATCTTTTATCATTTTATCTTACTTATTACTTTTATCGCCATTGTTTACAGCCCAAAAGATTTTTCTACTTCCATTATTATCCGCAAACGTTGCGTTTGCGGTTGGTAGTGGTTAATGACGTTTTATATTACTGTAAACCGCTCCATATCGTTTTATACTGCTGAAATCTAAAAGCTGTTTCCCGCCAGCGTTTGCGGTTGCGGACGGTATCGGTTAGATAAAAAATATACATTTATAAAAAATGAAAGATCACGTTAAACACAATTAATTACAAAATTAGTTTCTTATAACTCTTTTTTTGTTCTTCAGAAAGTTACATAGTCAAATGAGATGATATGTGCATTATTTCAACGGATCATTGTGGAAAAATAAATTAAAGATCTTTGAAGAAATTTTTGGGTGTACTCTAAAAAGAATGTATTCTAAAGAATATTACTGAGCAATTTGAAGTTAATTTTAAGTTGGAGTCACGCAAAAAATCGATTAGATCAATTAAAGAAATTTTACACCATGCATAAGACAAATCCAAAAGATCCACGTATTGGAGCAAATTTTTTCCAGTTTATTATACTAGTAGACACAATTTTAGGTTATGTTCCCAACAACAGAAATTAAACATGACATTATAAAATTTATTAGTTTTTTAAAATAATTATTTAGTATTTATTTATAATTTTTATTATTAATTATTTTGAATTAGTGATTTTGATATTTAGCATATTAATATAGTTTTTATTTATTTTTATAATTATATATAATGTTTATTTTGGTAATTTTATGTTGGGCTTTTAGTGAAAAAACCCCCTCAACTAAGTTTGAATCGGATAAAAACCCCCAACTATTTTTGTAACGTAAAAACCCCTCAACAAAGTTTTCGTAATGATTTAGCCCCTCCGTGAACAGCGCCGTCAAATCTTAACAAATCGTTCTTTTTTTTAGCAAAAACTACATGATTTTTACTATAAACAACAAGCTTTTCGAAAGCCAGATATAAGAATCCCAAATCAAACATAATCTCTTAAATTCCTAAATTCTTAAACCTAAATTGATGAACCCTAATTTTTGAAAGTGTGATTCTAAGTAGTTTTTATGGTTTGGAAGTCAATTGGGTGAGATTGGAAATGATTTGTTGTGTTGATTATGAGAGAAAAGCCCTTGAATTGAGAGAAATATTTTCGCAAATTGGAAGAAAGAGGAGAAAGAATCACAAATCTGAAGCTTGGAAGAATATGAGGCAGCTGTTTTAATTTGATGTGTAAAACCTTGTTCTTCTTCCTCTAACAAATGTATTTAGAAGAAGAATTTAAAAGTTTTTCAAATTGAATGAGGAACCCTAATTTTTAAATTGGGATTTTTAGTTTCAAATCGATTTGGGGTTTTCTTTTATTGAAGTCATTTCGTTTTTTTATAAAATACAAAGCATCATGTTTTCATTTAACTGTAATCCGTTAAGATTTGATGGTACTGTTCACGGAGGGGCTAAATTATTACGAAAACTTAGTTAAGAGATTTTTACATTACAAAAATAGTTGAGGGATTTCTATCCGATTCAAACTTAGTTGAGGGGTTTTTTCACTAAAAACCTTTTTATGTTTAACCACTAAAACATCCGCTGGTTTGCCAGTCAAAAGTATCTCGCAAAACGAACTTGCCCTAAAAAGTTTAACTACTCGTGTAAACCACTTAATAACACTCAAAACTGCAATCATTCACTTCCGCAAACTCTCGCACTTGCACTCACAACCATAATCGCTGCGTTTAAACCAACCAGAACTTTAATCTTTTCAATCGCGATCCAAAATAATTTCTCACTCACATATGATTGTAAATGAAGTAGATTTGCAATCGGGTTCAGTGGGTCGTTAGTGGGCCGAATTCGAAAACAGTCAATTGAGTAAATAATATTAATAAAATGAAAAATGTTGCGTCATAAACCGAATCCTATAGAAAGTCCAGTGACTAAAGAAGCAATATACAAAATTTAATTGACAAAAGAATAAAAATAAAAAAAGAAATCGCCACAATAACGCACCCACTATTTCTCCTTCCGTTCCCCTTCTTCTTCCTCACTGTAAACGCAGAGCCTCCATTTCTCTTCTCCTTCGTTTCTCTCTCTCTATCTCTCTCTCTCTCTACACATATTCTTCTTCATAGCCTTTTTGGGTTTTTCTTTCTATTTTTTTTGTTCTCTCTCTGGTGTTTGCTACGAGAATAAGAAGAAGAAGAAGACGGAGGAGAGATTTTCGTTCTTCGACGTTCTATCGGTGATAAAAATCAATGGAGGATAAGAACTGAACGAATCTGAAAACTACTCGCAGATCGGAATCAGAAAAACTTATCATTACTGAAATTCGAATCGGATTTCTCTTTTCACTTGGGTATATTTAATAATGATGAGGTTCCTCTCTTTCTTCTTCGATTGATTTTTTTTTGTGCTTATTCATCGTTTTCTCTATTTGTTTCTTCTCCTGATTTTTTTTCAGTTGATTTTGGTATTTTTTTTGGGTTTTCTGTTTTCTCACCTTCGTGTAGGTTTTGTAGGATCTGGGTTTGATTTGAAAACTCCAGATTCATGGTTTTTATGAACAGTAAACGAATTGAAAATTTTGATCTCCTTTCTTTGGTTTTGGTTACTTTTTGATCACAATAAGATCAAATTCTTCATCTAAAATTTCACTTCCAAAAAATCTAAAATCACAGACTCATGAAGAAGACGAAGAAGAAAACCTTGTATTTTCGAAAAACCTCCATAAGCATAGAAGCATTCTCCAAATTTCTCGATTTAATAAATCTTCTTCCATTTTCAAGCTTTTTGTTTTTTTGGTTTCTTACTGATCTGATTGTTTGATTTAAACCAATTTTTCACAGGTATCAGAGAGTAAGCCCAGATTATCTTCCTCTTACAAATACCAAAAAGCCCTACTTAAGACCTTCACCTTCCAGATCCATCGATAACGGAGGAACAGCCACAACCGCCGCGATTTCAACCGGAGTAGGAAGATTCAACGGGACGAGCACCACCATTAGCAGCTCGAATCTCGACGGAGTCCCCAAAGGATTCCGATTCAGATCCACTTCTATCACCACCGCAACACAACAACAACAAGAAGAAGATCTCTCTCACGATTCCACTACAAACCCTAGCGGCAGCGGAGGCGGAGGAGATGGATTGTTACAGTGGGGACAACGGAAACGATCACGTGCCTCCAGAACCGAGATCCGATCCGTCTCCGTCGCTGCTGCAGATGATTCATCTTCTTCCTCGGGACAAAATCTGATCCAATCTAATAGGATTCAGAGAAGATCGACGAATCTTATTATGCCGCCGCCGTCTCTGTCGTCGTCGCCTCTCTGCGGCGGCGGAGGACGGAGCACGAATCCGAGAAGCGGTTTCGTCATCGGCAAGGAATCATCTAGATTCGTCCCTACCAGGTTTTTACCCAATTTCTTTATTTCTCATTTTTGATATTCTCGATCTGGATTTTCCTTTTTACAGAGCTTTCAAAATTTCAAAATTCTTTTGGTTTTGTTTCTCTTTTGGTTTATTTCTACAAGCGTGTCTTTTTTCTTTTCATTATTTTAATTTTCTTGGCTACATCTATATAGTATTATTATTTATCTGGAGTCACTGATACAATTTTTTTTTTTTTTGCTATACTTGGATTTGATTATGTTAATTTACTTTTCTCGTTTGTTATTGAGATCATTTTTTTTGGTTCATATGTTGATTGCTTTTACTAAAGTTAGGTTTTGATCAATAAAAAACAATTTTGTGAATTGACTTTAATACCCTTGGAAAAACAAGCAGAGTTTTTATGTTCATTGTTTTTTCCAAAACTCTGTGTCTAGGTTTTTTATTTTGTTTTGCTTTGTGTGTAGCATTTTTACTGTTTTATTTATGGTAAATTATTATAAAGATTTTTGTATCATCATCTCTTTAATCTTAAGAGATCTCCAATTTCTCGTTTGCCTTTCTTTGACCTAGTCTTCCAAAATTTTTTTTGGCATCTCTCTTCGAAATGACAATTTTGATAGATCCTTTAGATTGATTGGGTAATTAGGAAATATACATCTCTGGGTTTTAATTTGGTCTGCGCTTTCTCTTTACATCTGATAATAAAGTGGGTATTTATTTTCTTTCTTAAATTTTTCACTTATTGTCAAAAGAAAAGGTTGATAGATCCTTAGCTTGAGTTGGCAAATAGAAACCTTTTTGTTTATTTTTTATATTTACATCTCTCTGGGTATTTTTTTTTTTTTAATCCGATTCAGAAACTCTTAATTTTTAATGGGTATTTCTCTTCCGTAAATTTCTTCACTTTTGTTTTGGTAACAAAAAATAAATAAAAATATCATTCATCAAGTTTGAAACTTTATAGCTTGTGGGTTTTGAACTTAAAAAAAATTCCTAATTTTGATCATGCCTAGGCATCTAGAAGATAGATCAGTCACCGGTTCACCGTCAAGAAACATCGGAGTTAGTGGTGGTCGTATGGTGTCCAGATCGGCCAACGGTGGTCTTAAACGATCTACTCCTTCTCCGGAGAAGACTGAAACTAGATCAAACGGCAAGGATCATCATCATCATCATCAGAGACAGAACGGGTTAGATAATCATCATCAAAGGATGAATCGATCAGAATCAACGGCTCAGATTCACTCAGAGATTGAGACGAATAATGGAGAGAAAACAACTACACAAGTGGAATTTAAAGAGTGGCCAAGAATCTACATTGCTTTGTCTAGAAAAGAGAAAGAAGAAGATTTCTTGGCTATGAAGGGAACAAAACTCCCTCATCGACCAAGAAAACGAGCCAAGAACATCGATAAAGGCCTTCAGGTTATTTTTCCATCTTCATTTTCTTTAATTCAACTCTGTGAAAAGCAAGAAAATGGTTTTGAAATCTTTGGTGGTTTTTGTTTCTTGGCAGTTTTGTTTTCCAGGGATGTATATGTCTGATTTGAACAAAAGTCGGTATGAAGTTAGAGAGAAGAAAAGTGCGAAGAAGGTAAAAAAAAGAAACTTTACCAAATTCTGGTTTTGCAAGTTTTTCAAGAACTTAGAAGCATAGAAGATCATAAGAAGATGGATCTAAAGTCTTATTGTTATCAATTGCATTCATATGGATCTTGGTATTGAGAAAATTTGGTGGCCTTAATAAAAACCGAAATGTGTATTTTGGTGAAAATAAATTTAGAAAACTAGACAAGACATGGGAACTACTCTGCGAGAATCATGAAAATTAGTTTACAAGTAATCAATAATTAACTTCTGGATTGGTTTTTGTTGATCAAATATTGTGGTGATTAATATTTGTGCAGCAGCAGAAGCGAAGAGGATTAAAAGGCATGGAAAACTTGGATTCTGATTCAGAGTAGGCACGTGTGGATCGCAATTGACGCACGTATGAAAGCGTGTTAATGGTCGAAGCCTTTCTCTTTTTCATTTTTTTGTTTATCTATATTATTATATGATTATATTTTTCTTTGCCGTGTTCCGAATTTTTTTTTTCTTGTCCTACTCTTCTCGTGTACAAAAATGAAAGGCAAAGGTGCGTCTTGGTAAGTCCTCTTTTCGAGTTTTCCGAAGAAAAAAAAAAAGAGAAAAAGGCAATAATTAAATTTTTGGGTTGCTTGCATCACCTTTCACATTTCCTAAAGCGAATATAAAGGAAATAAAAACTGAAAAAAAAATTATGGCAAATAAGTTATCAAGCGATTGTCAAAAAACAATTGTGGTAATTAATTTTAAAATAAAGCAAACAAAACAAATAGGTAAAAACAAAACAATAAGTTGTCTATATTATTTACAAACAAATCCATATTCTCGATTCGTTTACACCAGGAAAAACTAATCGAACTCTTTAAATGGCCGGTTAAAACATCTAAACCAGGTCACATCCTAAATTCGCAACCCGGTTCGAACCGGAGAGAAGATCGGCTAATCCGGATCTAACATCAAACAACCTGGCGCGTGAGAGAAACAATTAATTAATCGAAGTCATAGGGCGGCGCGTGAGATCACTACAAGGGCGGGAATATAGTCATAGTCGTCCGGGACGATATTTTTTCCGGCTTCCTAAAAGGTCTGATTTCTCCAAAAGTCTCCAAACTAAAAAAAACGCTTCGTGAATTTTGAATCAAAAGTAGAATATTGTTATGACTTAAGTCATAATTGATAGTGACGAAAGACCAAAACAGCATCTTTAGCTTTTTTAAGGTCCAAAAAAATTGTCTGACAAAAGGAAGTAACTGAAAAAAAAAAATCACTTAAAAAGTGTTTTGAATCTATTTAAGAGAAGATCTAAAAACTGATAGTAACAGCTCAATTCAGAACCTTTTAACTCAAAAAGTCAAAGTTTTGTCTGTCAATGTCAACATAAGGAACACTCAGATAATTGAGTTGAAGATTTCATATGTCAAATTTATAAATATTACCATTTTTTGTTGTTTTTCCTTTTATGCACCTAAGACTGAGCAAAAGGAGCAAACTTGCTTAGTTAATAAATCTCAAATCATTTGATATAACAAAATCATACAACTTTTCACTATTCACATTTGAGTTTCTGGTCAAATCTTTGAACTTTTAGCTCAGTTCCTTAAAACCTTTTACTGGTTGATTTCACATGTTATAGATGCACACTCGAAAACATCCATATGTTTCAAGGATTCTCGCAGAGTTTCCATTGCTTCACTGTTTCGCTTAAACGGACAGGAACGTTGTTAGACCAGTCACTAAGATCAGGCAAGCCTCCGGTCAAGGCAACAAAGTTGAGACCTTGTGAATCTGGAGTTCTCTTCCAGCTGACCTGCATTGAACCGAGGATAATCCACAAAATGTGATCAAATCTTTCACAAGCAAGTAACAATGGAAGATACAAAATGTGTTGCTTACTTGTCCAGGAAATGCTTGTGACAAAATCTTGATGGTAGAATTCAACATCCACACCGAATCACCTAACACCAACTGGATTTTCCCATTTGTTACAACGTCCTCTGCTTCGATTCCAGCACAATTCACCATAATGCGACCGTTAGGCATTAGCCTGCTAGCTACATCAAGCCATATTGGAACCTGCACAAAACTCAAATCTCGAAAAATGCTCACAAAGAGCTTATATGTGACTATATATAACCGTTTTAAAAAAAGTACCTCTTGCAGCTGATTTAAGACCTTTCCATCAGAGAACAAATCAACGATGATGGCTAAAGCATTTCTTGTTAACATAAGAATTCAGAACGAGAAAAGAAGATATGTGCAACATAGAGTAATCAATCTCTCACCAGCATATCTTTTTGAATCATCTTGAGAAGGAGAGAGAGCATCATCTACATGAACACAAAGTCTACCACCTTTTGATGTTGGTTCCTCTAGCTCAGATAGCCGGAGATAGTTTCTTGCTTTCTCAATCAACTACTGTCCATAAAAGAAATCACAGTTAACTCAAGATTCCTTATATAGGCAAACCGAGATGCCTCAAGAAAGATATAACATACAATTTCATCAATCTCCCAACCGTCAAGCTGCATAGAAGGCCATAACTCAAGCATCAATCTTGCAGATGTTCCACCACCCTAAAAACACAAGTAATCACATCATTAACAATCTCCACAAACCCATTTTTTCATGTACATCTCAGACAGTTTTGAGATGCTAATGAATAGGCAGAATCGCTTTGAGATTCGTCTAGTAGCTCTCACCAATCCATAGATTGCAATGGGACCATTAGGGATAATAGGTGGTAAAGTCGCAGACTCATCCTGCAACAAAGTGTTGATAGAATCCAACAAAAATACATTTAAAAAGAGACAAAAAAAACAAGGCTATATTTGATTTACACACAAAAACAATGATGGAAAATCTAACATACCCAATAGGATCCAGTCCAATTCTGGCCTCCTTTATTGATAACACTATGCACATTCTCTACATAATGGGAAGAAAAAAACATAGATTGTAAAATCAGAGGATTTGATAATACAAATATAAGACTTCTGGTTTAAAAAAAGCTCACTAGTTGAATCAAGGAGAAGATATCTGGAAGCAGCAGTATCCACTATAACAATCTCATTGTATCTGCTTCTTACAGCTGTCACAACCCAATAATCCTCTTCTTCTTCTTTGTCTTCTTCTCTGCTAGAATCTTGCTGAATCTTTTTATCGTCAAGATCACTTTGCTTGAGGCAAAATGAAATTAAGGATCTCGGTTTCTTCAGAGATGGGTTTATGAACAAGGGTTTTGAAAATTGAGATGTTTTATATGAAAGGAAGCAACTTTCATTGCGAGAATGTGAATGTAAACATGAGACTGCCATGGAACTCAAATCTGCCATTTTTGTTTGTTTTGTTTTCTTTCCAAAAATGCTCTCTTTTGCTTTCCAAGTCTTATCCTTCTTTCTGCTACCTCCAAATTAGTGTCGTTTACAATCTTGGCACAAAAGCAATAGTGACTTTTGGACTGATTTTAAAATCAGTCGGCAGTACTGGCTTCTATAACGGTTAGTGCCTTGCCGTTTTATACCGTACAAACGGCACGATGTGTACTATATATATCAGAGTTTTGAAACTTACATTCGTTTTATGGCAAGAGAAAATTGAACTCATCCCGCATAATTTGGTTCCTGAACAAATGCTTAATACAACGACACGATTTGAGACCTTATTGTTGGTCTAAAAGGCCACACGTAATCGACGAAATGGCTAAGAACACAAATAAGTTAGCTTTTTGGCCAAATTTCCATCAAAATCTTTCCCATATGCTTTTTAATGTTATATATTATGAACAAATTATGATAGGTTTCTTTCTTGATATGTCTTACGGGTTCTCGCAGAGTTTCCATAGCTTCACAGTTTCGCTTAAACGGACAGGAACTTTGCTAGACCAGTCACTAAGATCAGGCAAGCCTCCGGTCAAGGCAACAAAGTTGAGACCTTCTGAATCTGGAGTTCTCTTCCAGCTTACCTGTATCAAGGATAAATCCACAAAACACGGTTAAATCCTTTACGAGCAAGTAACAATGGAAGATGAAATGTGTTGCTTACTTGTCCAGGAAATGCTTCTGACAAGATCTTGATGGTAGAATTCAACATCCAAACCGAATCACCAAACACTAACTGAGGTTTTCCATTTGCTGCAACTTTCTCTTCTTCGATTCCGGCACAATTCACCATAATGCGACCGTTAGGCATCAGCCTGCTAGCTAGATCCAGCCAAATAGGGACCTAAAGGAAAATTGATATCAAAATACTAAAGACAAGTAGTGTCTATATACAACCATAACCGTTTAAAGTACCTCTTGCAGTTGGTCTAAGACTTTCCCATCAGCGAACAAGTCAACAATGATCCCTAGATCAACACAAGAACTCAAGAATTTTAGACAAGAACTAGAATAGGCAACATACATTATATGGAAATCTCACCAGCATATCTTCCTGAAACATCTTGAGAAGGAAAGAGAGCATCGTCTACATGAACACGAAGGCTACCGCCTTTTGATGTTGGTTTCTCTAGCTCAGATAACCCAAGATAGTATCTTGCTTTCTCAATTAACTACTGTCCAACAAGAGATTCAAGAAATCACAGTGAACTTAAAGAGACCATTTTGCAAAGAAAGTGGGATACATGATTGTGTTAAGATAAGCTTACATACAATTCCGTCAATCTCATAACCTTCAAGCTGCGTAGAAGGCCACAACTCAAGAATCAATCTTGCAGCTGTTCCACCACCCTAAAAACAAAAGTACCTATATCATTGAAGAATTCCACAACGGTATGAGATTCAATGATTGCGCATTAAGATCAATAGAATAGTTCTCACCAAGCCATAGATTGCAATGGGACCATTAGGGATAATAGGCGGCAAACTCGCAAACTCATCCTGCAAGAATCATCAAGAAAAGCACATTTCTAAAGCTGCTATTAAGCATTCACAATTAGCTCCCAAAAGAGAAACAGACAAAGCTATTTGCAGCTCATTTTACAAAAGATTGATGGAAAAATCTAACTTTACCCAGTAGGATCCAGTCCAATTCTGGCCTCCCTTATTGATAACACTATGCACATTCTCTACACAATGTGAAAACAGGTGACAGTTAGAGCCAGAGGAATTTGATAATACAAATTTTAAGACTTTAAATTTTTAAAAATCTCACTAGTTGAATCAAGGAGAAGATATCTGGAAGCAGCAGTATCCACTATAACAATCTCATTGTATCTGCTTCTCACGGCTGTCACAACCCAATAATCTTCTTCTTCTTCTTCATTGTCTTCCTCTATGACAGATTCTTGTTGAATTTGCCTCTCATTACGATCACTTTGCTTGAGGCAAAACGAAATTGAGAATCTGGGTTTGTTCAGAGATGAGTTTATGAACAGGGGTTTTGAAATTTGGGAGGTTTTATATGAAAGGAAACAGCTTTCTTTGTGAGAAAGTGAATGTAGACAAGAGATGGCCATGGAACTCAAAGCTCCCATTTTTACTTAAGTTTTCAGTGATCTCTTTGCGTCTAAACTCTAAAGTCTTATCCTTTTTCCTTCCTACCTTCAGTTATATGTCATTTACAGTCTCAGCTCAAAAGCAAAAGTGGTTTTTGGATTCTCTCGAACCATTTCGACATCACAAGCTAGGCTTTGACATCGGTTCCGGTAAAGAGTTTTGCCGTTTATTGACTCACAAACGGCACGATTTGTGGCTATAGATAGTTCAAAATTTTGTGTCTTCAACAATGACACGATTTGTTAAAGGGACCTTCGTGTTGGTCTAGAGACCACGTAAGCGAGGAAATGGCCACGAACACAAAGTAGTTTGGTCTTTTTTTGCCAATTTCGATCTAATCTTCTTCACCATACGCTTTTTAGTTATAACTATGAACACCATAAATCAATCAATAACGCTTATAATGAAGCAATATAATGGATTTAAATAATATAGCAACATACTTTTTTTTATGCGTTCCAGTTTTAAACTTCAACATAAACAGAACATATCAATTATTATCTTGTTAGTGGACATACAAAATCAATTACTATTGATCCTGAAACTTTGTAAACAAAATCATTTTGTTTCCAAGAAAAATCAATTACTATTGATCCCAAATATTTGTACAGTATTTATGTAATTAACATGTCGTTAATATTTTAAAACTAATTTATAATCGGATTAGCTCGATTCATGACAGAAAATATGAAAAGAACATTTTTTTTTGTCTATCTGAATTTTATTATTTATCAAACATAATCCAAATTCTAAATTTTATTATTAACCAAACATATTTCAAATGCAAAGCCAGAAAAGATAAAAACCTTTTAGAAACTAAGCTGATTAGTTCATAAAACTCTTGGAGACTAAAATCTTTTGTAAAAGAGACAACCAACTTGAATTACATAACACATAAAATCAAACAGTAAACATAAAACCAAACAGTAAACATAAAACAAAACAGTAAACGAAATACAAACTAAAAAGCTAACATTTTTCACAATCCTTGGAAGTTCAGAAGAGATGATCAAATATGAAAAGAATGTTGGTTTGCCACACAAATTAAATTTATAATAGTTGAATTCTAAGTTTTTAAGAATAATGAAGCATTTTTTTGTTTGAATAAATTTTTACAGTTTATTAAAAAGAAATTAGTAAAAAACTCACCATTGTAGTCGATGAGTTAACAAATTCACAATGTATAGTATGAAATATATTTTACCTAGTAAATAAATTAAAATAATATGTTCTTTTTTTTTTGGAACCTCACAAAATCACATGTTCTTTTTTTTTTGGAACCTCACAAAATCACATGTTCTTCAATTTCATTTTTGAGAAATAAAAAAATGAAAAAAAAATAGCAGACTGAATTCGGATAGGCTAATAAGAACCCTTCATTCTTTGCCTCCTTGCCTTCTTCCACTACAGATAAAACACTTGACACTACAATCTCCACTCTTCTCCTCAAAAATTTCCCCCAAATCCACACAAAACCCTAATTCTCCCTCTGCTTCAATTTCCCATCTCCCATGGCGATTTCGTCTCCCGCCGCTACTTCCTCTTCTTCGAGACTCCTCTATTCCTACGCTTCTCCATCTTCTTCCTCCCCTGCTCCCGCCATTTCCACCTCCTGTAAACCAAAATCCCTTACCCTCTCCTCCTCCTTCCTCCCTTCAATCACATCCCTCTCCGTCACCACCTCCTCTCCCACTCACCGTCTCCGTCGCGCGTTCACCGTACGCGCCGCCAGAGGAAAATTCGAGCGGAAGAAGCCTCACGTCAACATCGGCACAATCGGCCACGTCGACCATGGGAAAACCACTTTAACCGCCGCTCTAACCATGGCCTTAGCTTCAATCGGAAGCAGCGTCGCGAAGAAGTACGACGAGATCGACGCGGCTCCGGAGGAGAGAGCTCGCGGGATCACAATCAACACCGCGACGGTCGAGTACGAGACGGAGAATCGCCATTACGCTCACGTCGATTGTCCTGGACACGCCGATTACGTTAAGAACATGATCACCGGAGCTGCTCAGATGGACGGAGCTATCCTCGTCGTTTCCGGCGCCGATGGTCCTATGCCTCAGACGAAAGAGCATATTCTTCTGGCGAAGCAGGTCGGTGTTCCCGATATGGTCGTCTTCTTGAACAAAGAGGATCAAGTCGATGACGCAGAGCTTCTAGAGCTCGTTGAGCTCGAGGTTCGTGAGCTTCTCTCTTCCTACGAATTCAACGGTGATGATATCCCGATTATCTCTGGCTCTGCTTTGTTAGCTGTTGAAACTCTCACTGCGAATCCGAATGTGAAGAGAGGTGAGAACAAATGGGTTGATAAAATCTACGATCTGATGGATTCCGTTGATAGTTACATTCCGATTCCGACGAGGCAGACGGATTTGCCGTTCTTGCTAGCTGTTGAAGACGTGTTCTCGATCACGGGCCGTGGCACTGTAGCCACCGGCCGTGTCGAGAGAGGTACAGTGAAAGTAGGAGAGACAGTAGACTTGGTTGGATTGAGAGAGACGAGGAACTACACAGTTACAGGAGTTGAAATGTTTCAGAAGATTCTTGATGAAGCAATGGCTGGAGATAACGTTGGATTGTTGCTTAGAGGTATACAAAAGGCTGATATTCAAAGAGGTATGGTTTTAGCTAAGCCTGGATCGATCACTCCTCATACAAAGTTTGAAGCGATTGTGTATGTGTTGAAGAAAGAAGAAGGTGGAAGACACTCGCCGTTTTTCGCTGGTTATAGACCTCAGTTTTACATGAGGACGACGGATGTTACTGGTAAAGTGACTAAGATTATGAATGATAAAGATGAGGAATCGAAGATGGTTATGCCTGGTGATAGGGTTAAGATCGTTGTGGAGCTTATTGTGCCTGTTGCTTGTGAACAAGGGATGAGGTTTGCTATTAGAGAAGGAGGCAAGACTGTTGGTGCAGGAGTGATTCAGGCCATTATCGAATGAGAGGAATTAAAGCTTGTTCTTGTTTCTTTTGTGTATTTTTTTTTTTTTGAAGGGTCTGCAATTAGTTTTCTGTTTCATATTTTTCGCCATTCTTATGAGAACTCAGAATCAAAAATGTCATATATTTATCCGGTTTCAATCTGAATTTAAGCTCTCACAGTTTATATCCTTCTTATGTTTGGGGTTAAAAGACAGGTCGCAAGATTTCATTCTACCAAAGTAAATTAATTTAGAAGTGCATATAATACATACTTTTGAAAATTGTACAATGACACTTACATAAATATATATACTAACACATAGAAATCATTATATGTATACTGAATGAGGAATAGGCTCCCATAGAGAGTTCTCTTCCAGCCAATGACACTCACATACATATATATACTAACAAACATAAATCATTATATGTATATTGAATGAGGACTAGGCTCCCAAAGAGAGTTCTCTTCCAGCAAATAAATCATTTGTGAATCTGGAGTTCACTTCCAGCTAAACCTGCATCGAAGATAATCCGCAAAGAGTTAAATCTTTTTTTTTTTTTACATTTTTCCCATTCAAAACGAGCAAGTAACAAGAGGATGGAAGATGAAATATTTTTACTAACTTGTCCAGGAAATGCTTCTGACAAGATCTTGATGGTAGAATTCAACATCCACACCGAATCATCTAACACCAACTGGGGTTTCCCGTTTGCTGCGACTTTCTCTTCTTCGATTTCAGCACAGTTCACCATAATGTGGCCGTTAGGCATCAGTCTGCTAGCTAGATCCAGCCAAATAGGGACCTAAAGGAATATCAAAATACTAAAGACATGAAGTGTCTATATGCAACGAATAATAGTAACAAACAATAACCCTTTATAGCAGCTGATCCAAGACTTTTCCATCAGCGAACAAGTCAACAATGGTCCCTAAATTAACATAAGAATCCAAGAATTTAGACAAGAACTAGAAGAGGCAACATACATTATCTGGAAATTTCACCAGCATATCTTCCCGAAACATCCTGAGAGCATCATCGAAGACTACCGCCTTTTGATGTTGGTTTCTCTAGCTCAGATATGGCTCAAGATAGTCTTTTGCTTTCTCAATCAGGTACTGTCCAACAAGAGTATCAAGAAACCACAGTGAACTCAAGAAACCATTTTGCAAAGAAAGCCGCATTCCTGATTGTGTTATGGTAAGCTTTCATACAATTCCGTCAATCACCCAAGCTTCAAGCTGTACAGAAAGCAACAACTCAAGAACCAATCTTGCCAGCTGTTCAACTACCCTGAAAACAAAAGTAACCATATCATTGAAGATTTCCACAACGGTAAGAGATTCAATGATTGCGCATTCAGCTCGACAGAATAGTGCTCACCAAGCCGTAGATTGCAATGGGGCCATTAGGGATAATAGGCGGCAAACTCGCAAACTCATCCTGCAAAAAGAAAAATGTTGATAGGATTCAACAACAGCACATTAAAATCTTATTGTGCATCTACATTTATCTCCCAAATGAGAAACAAACTAGAAAATTATTTTACCATTGGCTGTGTAAACACATTTAGCAGTAGCACCATTGGTCTTGTTCTTCTTCTTCAACCTTTTGCACCAAAGATGAATCACCAAAGGGTTTCATTTCACTAGAAATCAAACAAAGCTCGTCGTAGATCTCTTCCCATCTAGGATGAGCCTTATCTCCAACGAGAAAAACGTGAAGTTCATCTTTGAGCTCAACCCAACTGCATCCAGGCTCCTTCTTAAGCTTAAAGCCTTTCATACTTCTCCTCATATCCGAAACTTTTCCCCACATTTCTGCATCTGCGTATACATTCGATAGAAGAGTACAAGCTGAAGAATCTTGTGGATCAAATCTCAACAGAGCCGCAGTTGCTTCTTCTGCAATCTCTACATTGTTTCTATGTATCGCGCAGACTCCTAACAACGTTCTCCATATAACATCGTCTCCTTCGAATGGCATCTCTCGTATAAGCTTTAACGCTTCCTTGACTTTTCCACATTTTCCTAAGATATCCACCATGTTCGAGTAATGCGGCAGCTGAGGATCCAAGCCGTAGTCTCTCTTCATCATGTCGAAGTATTCAAGTCCTTTGTCCATTAGACCCATGTGAGCACAGGCTCGGAGTATCGATACGAAAGTCACGTGATTTGGTTTCATGTTTTCGTGTATCATTCTCTCAAACAGCTTCATAGCTTCCTCTCCTTTTCCGTGATGCGCATACCCACAAATCATGGCGTTCCAGGTCACGAAATCTCTTCTCGAGGACTTCTCAAACATCAATCTTGAATCCTTGAGATCTCCACATTTAGAGTACATGTCAACGAGGGTGCTGCAGATATACACATCAGATTGCAATTCTTTCTTGATGACCTGAGCGTGAATCTGTTTGCCTAATCCACCGGAAGCTAGATTCGCACAGGTATCAAGAACCGTTGCATAAGTAAACTTGTCAGGAGTTATGCCCATCTCTATCATCTGTGTAAAAAGCATCTGAGCATCCTCGCTCTGTTCCTTCATTACATACCCAGCAATGATTGAGTTCCATGAAACACACATTTCTTGCAGTCTCTTCTTGTCAAGCTCTTCCATTGTTCCCGGAAACAACCGACTATGTACCTTCTCCGCCTCTTCTATCATTCCACACTTTGAATACATATCGATCAAAGAGCACCCAACAGAGGAATTTGAAGCCATTCCTGATTTGACAACGGCGGAGTGGATCTCCATACCGTAACCCAAAGAACCACCAGCACAAGCTTTCAATACGCTTCCAAAGGTAAACTCATCAGGTTGTATCCTAGAACGGAGCATTAAGAGGAAAAGAGAAAGCGTTTCACATTCTTTTCCGTTCTGCTCATGTGCTGCTATGATCGCATTCCAAGACACAGCATCTCTTCTTTTCATCTCATCGAACACACGAAAGGCTTCAGCCAGAGCTTGGCATTTCCCATACATGTCAATAGCAGCATTTGCAACGCAAACATCTTGTGATAAGTTGCTTTTTACTGCCAAACTGTAAAGCTGAAGCCCCTGTGAAAGACCTTTCACCAAGGCACAAGCCCTGAACACTCCTGATAAACTTATCTCGTCAAAACCAAGACCCGATGACATGAGCCGGTGAAACAACAGTAGAGCTTTGAAACCATGTTCTTCCTGCGAATAACCAGTGATCATTGCGTTATAAGACTGTCGATTAAGATTTTCTGACTTGTCAAACAAAATCTGAGCATCTTGCATATTATCACACTTTGCATACATATCCAGTGTCGCCGTTCTCACTATACCATCTGCCGCAAAATCTGACTTCAAGGCATGAGCATGTAATTGACCACCTAATCTCAATTCAGATAATGCAGCGCATGACCTTAAGATGCTAGCGTAAATCGACTGGCTCACTCCACCACCTACCTTTTGCATCTCCTTGAAAAACATCAAAGCAAGGGACAACAAATTATTCTGAACACAACCCGCGATAATAGCACTCCAAGAGACGGAGTTCTTCTCTGGAATACCACGAAACACTCTAAGCGACTCATCAAATCTCTTGCATTTCGCATACATATCCAACAACGCACTTGCAGCAACCACATCATTATCATAACCCACTCGTATAATAATCCCATGAATCTGCATTCCTAAACTGTGTTCCTCTAAAAAGGAACAAACTTTCAGCATGACGGCAAAAGTTCTACCGTCAAACTCAACACCTGCTCTCCCCATGTCAAGGAAGACCTCAACAGATTTCAAACTCTGACCGTTTTGCAGATACGCGGAAAGCATTGAGTTCCATGACACAACGTCTCTCTCGGGCATCATATCGAAGAAAGAACTCGCTTTAACCATGTCTTTACTTTTCGCGTACCCATTTATCATTGTGTTCCAAGAAACAACATCTCTCAGAGGCATTCTGTCGAATAACATACAAGCAGACACCAAATCTCTAGAGTTTGTGTACATTTGAAGCAGACAATTCAAGACGTACGTAGTGGGTCGAAACCCAGACAATATCATATGAGCATAAGCTTGCTTTCCTAGCTCTAGTGCTCCTTGCTTCGCACATTCCTTGAAAACAAACGAAAAGTTCGTCGTGCTAGTTGATGAGTTCACGTGATTCACAAAATCAGTAAAGTAAGAAGCGATTGGAACTCTTCGGTGTGAGATTACTATGCAATGGAGAGAATGAACGCTTCTGGCAAACGAAAGAAGCTTCATTACTCTGCAAAAAGGATTGATTTTTCAGAAGCAACGCGAAGATTCATAAAATTCGATTTCAGGCGTCAATAACACTAAGACAAAATTTCAGAAGAAGATGGGAAAGACGGAAACGGCTTACCTCCGGCGGTGGGGGTGGTGCAAACGGCGATGGGCTTCGCCGGCTCAGTGTTGGAGAGAGACGGAGACCCGAGAGGGTTTAGGGGGGAGTGAACTTTTCACTTTTTGGGCCTCGAAAATGCATTCCTTTGTATGCACTAAGCCCAATACAATCTCTACAAACAAAAGTTCACCGGGTTGGAGGCAAATGGGAATTTAGGACAGGAGTTTTTGTAGGAACGGGGTCGGGACGAGATTTTGGGAACTAAATAAATGTTATATTTAAAATTTAGGAGGAGACAGAAACAGAACAAAAATTCCAAAAACCTAAATTTTTTTTTCATATAAAATCAAAACATCATTTTGTCCAGCCGATCGAAGAGGCGATTCTCATGAGAGTTTTTTTCTCTTCTCTCTTTTCTTTCTTTCATATCTTTCGAGAGGAAGTTTTTTCTCTCTAATGATCAGAGTTTTTCTGTAAATTGTTAGTTTCCGATTTTGATCGGATAATAAAGCTCTAACTTTGTCTATATTAGTTAGCTTTTTCTCCTCTTCGTTTGGTCTTTTATAGGTTTTGAGGCGGTGGCGAACAGATCCGGTGGTGAGTGTCTAGGATCATCCTCTCTCGGCTAAGAGATTGATCTCTCTTTGAGCCCCCTTTCAAGAGCCATGCATGGCGTTGGGTGGCATGTCTAGGATAAAGGATCAAAAACGATCTGATTTAATCGGAGATTTAAGCATCCAGCAAATTCTAATTTAGGATGAATTAAGCGATAAAAGAACAGCGGTTAGAGAAGGATGCAGATCCATTGGAGTTAACCTATATAGTTATACTCTTTGGATTATCGGTTTCTGGTGCTTTGATCGGCGAAATTGATGAAAAATTCAGGCAAATAAGTTATCAAGCGATTCTCAAAAACAACTGAGGTAATAAATTTAAAAATAAACCAACCAAAACAAATTGAAAAAAAAATAATAAATCATCTATATTTACAAACAAATCTATATTCTCCATTCGTTCGTTGCATATATGAATCCTCATCAGAAAAGAAATTAATCGGACTCTTTGAATAGCCGGTTAAAACTGCTAAACCAGGAATTAAAGGTCCCATCCTAAATTCTCAACCCGGTTCGAACCGGAGAGAAGATTAGCTAATCCGACTCAAACATCAAATCATACATTTATCTCCCAAATGAGAAACAAATAAGAAAATGCTAATTGATTGATGGAAAAATCTAAACATACCCAATAGTAACCAGTCCAATTCTGGCCTCCCTTATTTGATAAAAAAAGCTTTATAAATTGTGAATTTCCCTAGGATATAGTACACAATTTAGAAGCATTTATTACATATTTGATCAAACTTTTTAAAAAGCTTATTTTTCGTGATGGCAGGAAATGTAAATGACACTCACATATTATGTAACTAACACACATAATTCAATATATATATATATATATATATATATATATATATTAATGAGGAATAGGCGAATCTGAATCTTGGTTGCGTCCACCAGCTTGTCCACTAATTGATTTTCCTATATCAATGTGATCCATCAATTTTCTTCCTGCAATATTTGTATTATAAACTGAAGTTATATGCAATTCAATTAACCACAAAAAAAAAAAGAACAAGACGTTATTACGTTTTAAGAAGAGTTTACTTGTAGTTTTTTTTTTTTTTTGCAACTGATAAGTGATAATTGATATAACCGTTTTTTATAGATTATAAAGTGTGTGAAAAAAACTCATATTTCTAACATCAAACGTCACACAACATGAGAGAGATAGATCATCCACCTATTGTTTTGATAAATTTTGCACAAAGATTAGGTACGTATATTGGAGATGAAAAACCTATTTGAAACATTTGAATAAATTAAAACTTTTTATTAGTATTATGTTCGAAGTTTGACCGTGGAATTTCCTAAAACGCAGACTTCTGAACCATTAGACACCTAGGATCGAACTACGTACTTGAGAATTAAAAACTATGCTTTAACCAAAAAGAATTAAAAACTATGATTAATTATTGGTTTCGTAGAAAATACACAATTATATAGGTTCGAACCACTGGAAAGAGTTGATGATTGAAACTAAACTATGCAACCATTTGCCCTATGTACTCATCAATCTCTACGTACAAATTTGTAATTCGATGTTCATATAAAAATACTAAGTCAGCAGAACATTATTACAGACGAATATGCAAATTTGAAATTTTTACTATAAGAGGAGACAGATAATATTATATGAAATTAATTTAAGAGGAAACATATATATAATATTATAGTGTTACCAATATGATCACCATCTTGTCTCTTTGGTGGATATCCTGGCCTTGTTGGTATGTGTTGATAATAATCTAACATTCTCCTCCCTTCACATTATTAACATTCTACTTCAATTATACACTCCACAACAACATAAAATAAAATTCTGGATGAAGTTTTTGATAGTCGAAAACGATGACTATTGTCTATTTTTACTTCTTATTTTGGCTAAAACCCCATTGGTCTTAATTATACTCTTATTCAAAGAGAGAGAATGACAAAACGAACACTGTAAGTTGATTTGAGTATATAAGTAGTAGCCTAAAACCATTTACAGCTTGAAGTTAAATTTAGGAGTCCAATTTTTTTAACAAGTCTATGAATTGTTATTAGAATGGACCTTTGATTGTTTCTCTGTGTGTCTTAATTATAAAATAAAAATAGGTATCAATATATATATATATATATATATATATTTTTTTTTTTTAACAGATCAATTAATCATATTGTAAGTTTTATATTTTGTGAACACACGAATACGAGATAAATATTTACATTTTTGAACTTATACAATACCTAGATTCATGTGAGTAGATTATGTATGTGTTTATTGAAACACTAACCAGTAATTGAATGAGAAGGTAGTGCTGATTCGGTAAGGCAAGGGAAGACGCAAAGGAGCAGAAGCACAAAGAGTACTTGAGTTATCTGTGAAGAACCCATCTCTCTATCTCGTTCTCTTTCTCTTTGGCTGATTGATTTATTTATATATCTGGATGGCGAGGTCAAACTAAAAATTAAATAAAAAAAACAGATCTACAGAAAAATCCAAAAACAAAACAAAAAAATGAATTTTCTACTCCACTATACTTTAATTATTGTTCCTCTTGTATCTCCGTGACCGTTTCTTGTCGCCAATCGCCATCATTGAATGAAATATAGATAGATAGGATTGAATGACTCACACAGGAAAAATAAATATTTTTGAAACCTGATATTAATCGACTTTGAATTATTAAGACAAGTGGAGACATTTCATGTTTAAAGCTACACCAAACGATCTGCGTAATGTCTCATATTCTAAAGCAATTGCTGATGCCTGTGAGTAAATCTTTTAAAGCAAATTATCTAATTACATATCCAAAAAAATTCCTATAACTTTGATAAATTGATGAGAGTAAAACACATGTGTTTAGTTTAAAGTTATTATTGATTAAACTTCATATAACTAATCGTATAAGTTATATTTTCTTAGAGATAAGCTAGACATCAGTTTAGAAGTCAAGCGAAAACTGTAGATCTAATTAAAACTGCGAAACCAGAATTTTACAAAACAACATGCTCACCTAGTCACCTTTCATCTGCTATAACTTTTGATTCCAAACTTCAAACCGAATAATTCTTCTTGTTTATGAAAGTAGACTAGAACAGTTTCGCATGTGACATTGGATTTTTGGTCCATCAAAACATTGCTAAACATTCTAGAAAAATAGAAAACACTTACCTCCATGAAAGATGGCGAATTCTGAAAGCAAAAACCCTTAAATTAATTTTCCTTTATAGGGTTTTGGTTTTATCAATATGGCCATTAGAAAATATCATTCCGATAGAATAATATAATAAAATCAACAAGCAAAGGCGGTAGAAACATTGGAATCTCAGATCAACGTGGCGAGGATTACGTGCCTTGACCACAAGATATTGGTCACGATTGTTGGACGACCTCAAAGGTTTCATGTCGAGACAAGTCGTGACACATGATTTGCATCTTTCTATGAATCTTGTTGGTTTTGATCAAGAGCTACCGAAGAATTACTTTTTGTTATACAAGGTTTTGCTCAAACCACTCGATACATGAGCTTATTACAAAAAAGTGAAACATATATCGTACATTAAATTCGAGTCTTTTAAAATCCATACTGGAAAACACAAACTAAAATATAACATTCATATCTGTATAGTTTTTGTTTTTTTTTTCCAACGCCTCATGGCTACCAATTACTGGAAAATGCAAAAATTTGGGAGATGAAAGCGCTCGATCAATGTGGCCACCACCTTGTTCACTATTTGAAGGTCCATTAAATATTTCTCCACCTGGCTTATAATAAGTCATCAATAACCCTACCCAAAAAGAAAAAAAAATTTACATCAAATTCAAAGCTAACGATGTATAATAGGTGAATATTAAAGAAATTGATAGTTATATCTCTTAATTGAGGATATGAATATTATGAATACCTTTCCCACCTGGTTCACTTTTTGATGGTGGCGTTTCTATGTAAGTCTTCGGACTATACGTAATCATTCGCCTGCCTTCGTTAACCAACAATTTTTTTTCTTGTAAATAGATTATAATGCAAACATAACAAACCTAACGATATGCCTTTCTTTATATTTAAGGCTATAGAAGGGTGTCTAATCTATACTATTAAAAGAGAATGATGTTTTGTGTCTAAACAGATTTTTTACTTGGTTTTTTACTATTCTGTTTTTGGATAACTATTCTGTTGCCAAACAATTATGATTTTAATTTATATTTACCAAATAAGTTAATTTAGTATAATATTAATAAAATAATATATTTTAATTTCAATTTTAATATAAATCCGAAAATTTAGTTTTTATTTTAGATTTGTAATAAATTTCCTTATATATAGATTATATTATCAAAAATTATAAAATAAATTATTATTATATCTTTACAAAAATAATAACCCAAATAATAATTTAGATTTAATTTAAATATTTAAATTTAAATAATATTTTCAATGACAGAAATGAAAATAATACATTATTATATTTTTTATTAAATAAATTTTAAATTTAAATATTTAAAATATACAAATAATATGAACGGACATGTTAAATATTTTAATAATCTTAATTTTTTAAATTAATATAAATGATTATGTTATAATAATATTTTTTAATTGTGATATATTTCAAATTAATATGAACAGACGGGTTAGAGTAATGTTTTTCTAATCGCGGTCATATATATATAATACTAGAAAAGATAAATCAATAGAAACAAATTATGTTTAAACAGAATTTTTTATTAATTATTAGAAAATTTATATATAAACAAAAACAAATATTATATTACATAAATAAATAAAAAAAGTTTCCATGCGGACTTGATAACTAGTTCACCTATATATAGTTATGTGTTTGTGTACTGTGACACTAACCGGTGACTGAAAGTGGTTTAGGATGAGAAGGAAGAGCAGATTCGGTACGGTAAATGAGGGTGCAAAGGAGAAGAACCACAATGAGAACTGGACCTATTTTTGTAAAAATGTTCTTTCCCATCTCTCTCCGCCTCTCTCTGACACAAGTCTTTGAGTTTGGGTTTCTTTTATCTCCGTTTTGACTCAAAGCTTTGAGTAATATAGGCCACAAATGTTTATAATTAAAAAACAATATGTGTGATAGCAAATGTGCATGGTTATTGTAAGTGGCGGATCTAAAACTTATTTTTACTGGTTTATACTATCAAATTCTAACAATATACCTTAAATACATCAAATATATATATAATCAGAAATATTTTTCAATTATATGCTTTCTTCTTTTTATAATTACTCGGTTATAAGAAATTTAGTCCAATGAAAAGCTTGTATTCAATAGAATTAAATTAAACAAAATATCAAAAACATGGAAATAAATACATAATGATTTAATAGTAAATAGAAAATTAAGGTAAAAGGCTCAAATTTGGGAAAAGTAAGGAAAGAAAAATCTGAAGAAGATGGATATTTTATGTGGTATTTTTAATTGAGGACTGAGACATATCAAATAATTTACTCAATCTAACCAATATTTAATCAGACATTTTCTTATACGATTTAATAAATTAACTGGGGGAAAGTGACCCCTACCTTGCACATAGATCCGCCCCTTATTGTAAAACAAGCGAAATAACTAGAAGGAACGAATGAATGGTGATGTAAAATATACTAATTATATAATACTATATATTATAAAAAAATTGTATAATAATAAGTAATTTTTATATGAGGACGATGGATGGTAAAGTGACTAAGATTATGAACGATAAGGAATGTGAACAAGGGATGAGGTTTGCTATTAGAGAAGGTTGGTGCGGGAGTGATACATTCTATCATCGAATGAGGATCTTCATTAGCGGGTTAAAGCGTTTTGAGCTTTTTTTTGAAAGAATTAAAAATATAAGACAAAAAAGTTAAACTATTGTCCCCTTAATACTTATATAAAAAATTTTCTCTTTTTAAGATTTCTATAAATATTTTAACCTCTTTTACCCCTTTAATTTAAATTTAACAATAAAAATATAAAATTTAGAATACAAAATTTATATATATTTCCTCTGTTCAGAATTATTTGATGTTTTAGAAGGTTTTTTTTGTTCAGAATTATTTGATGTTCTCACTTTTCAATGCAAAATTTAATGAATTTTTATAGTTTTTGACCTTTTATATTCTGCAGATTGTCTTATTATTGGCTGAATGATATTTAAATGAATTATAAATAATATTTTTAGTATAGAAAAAATAAAAATTAAATGAATCCTTAAACTGTGTGCAAAAATCTTAAACATTAAATAATTCTCAACAGAGGGAGTATTAAATTAAATTATTAAAAAGTAAAAAAAATATTTACACTTACCCTTATCCTTTGTAGAAGCTGCCTCCTACCACCATCATCTTTTTCATCGTGATAAAAAAAAAAGTCACCAATTCTGTCCGCCGAAACTTCTTCTCTATCTCCGGTACGTATAAATAAACCGCCGTCCTTCTCTTCTCTTGTCTGCTTACTCCGTATTTGCAATTTCGTTTCAATAAATTGTGATGTTAGGGTTTGTTTAATCCCAAATCGATTTGGGTTTTCTGTGTGTAGGGATAGTGATTTTCGGGCTTAGAGAACTCCATCGCTGATGTCTCATCTGATAATCTGAAGGTAATGTGTTGATTGACAGGGTTCTATTGCTCATAAATTGCAGAATCTAAATTTCGAAATTGTTTAAAATTTGTTTTCTTCTTCTATTTGTTAGCTTCCCATGATTTGTTGTGAATCAGTTTCGACTTTTACATGAGAGATTTTGTAGTTGTGGAATCCTTGAACTGAATACTTTTTTCTTTTCTCTGCTGCAATAGCTTCTAAGGCGAGTTCTGTTTGGTTTGATTGTAGACTTATGTTTTAATGATAAGCTGTAGGTAATTGAATTGAGTTTTAAGAGTGGTCGAACTTTGAATCCATCTCGTTTTTGGATCAGTATTGGCTTGTGGTTATTAATTACAGCTAGAGGAATACTGTCACAAAAGATTTATACTCTGGTGATTGATAATACAAAAACGATAATTTGGACATTGTGCTTTGTTAAGGAGTAAGATGTGGGTCAATGTGTATACACTAGACAAAATGTGTTTCCAAAAGCATAACAATAAATGGAAGAGAACTGAAATTGGTGAGAGTAGCCAAAGAGTGTCATCATCATCATCATCATCATCATCTTCATCGTCTTCATCATCATCGTCATCTTCACTAAGTGAAAGCCGATTTATTTGTAACACTAACTGTTACTCCAGCCAGTTTCAAACATTGTAGGCTTGTAAGTTAAAGCAACTCTCTTGGACTATTTTTGTCCCCTGTTTTTGGTTATTGATACTTTGTGAAGTGCACGTAGTATAAGCTTATTGTCTCCTTTTGTGCAGTATCTTCCAAAGAGCTTCACTAGAAATAATGGAATGGAAAATGCAGAAGGAAGGTTTTACTGTTGGACAAGC